CAAGTCAGGCTCAGTGAGAAACTCTCGGAGCAGCATGCCGTCTGTCATGTACTTGAGAATTGTCCTCTCTGATGTGCAGTCCTCAAAACGAATACTGTAACCCACCTGGATGAAGGAACAAAAACATAAAAACACTGATAATACAAAACGTCCAAACGTTTTTAAAAACTAGTAATACACAAAAACATGAATTATAGTGAATCCAAAATTATTTCCTTTAGCCAAATGCACAAATAATTAAAAGTGTTTAAAAGACAATGATAACGTGCAAAGCTCACCTCGTTACCCAGCTTAACGCTCATTTCCTGAGCCACTCTAGCAGCCACTGACATGGCTGCCACTCTGCGAGGCTGAGTACATCCGATCTTCATGCCTCCTTGTGTGTAGCCCTGAGAGAGGAACAATGATGGGTAGCATCAGTAGAGACTTGGATTTGTTTATATCCTTAACTTCTTCATTACTATGTTGACTTGTATCTCATGTTATTGCCTTTGAGTGGACTTCTGTTATGTATTCTGGTCATGTTTCTACAAGTAACATGGTTAATAACCGAGTGTATGATGCTGTAAAACATTAGGAACTGCACTCACATGTTCCAGGAGGTACTGCGGGATCTGGGTGGTCTTGCCAGAGCCCGTCTCCCCCTCAATGACCAGGATCTGGTGCTCTTGGATGGCAGCCAGCAGGTCCTCTCTGTAGGGGAAGATGGGCAGGCTGCGTCTGACCTCCTGCATCGACTGTTTCTTCATCTCCGCCTGGGACAGAGCTATGGCCTCCTCTTCCTGAACACAACAGTCACATAAAAAAGGCCGACTTCAGATCTCTGGCATTATCTATTTCACAGTTTTTAGCTTTAACGTTAAATCACAGACCAGACTGGTGTCCCACATCTTACCACTAGGTGTCGCACTAGACTAGGCAGCTACTCCAAAGTGAAACAATTAGGAAGAGAGCCCATGTTGCAGGGATTATAACTGTGCTCTTATTCCGGTTGCCATATTTTCAACGCTTAAAAAACCGTTATACTAAAATGTAATCTCATCAGAACATAACTGTTTATTTTAACCAAAAATACTGTTGTCATGGTGTTGCCTTTGCTCCAACACATCAGTGCAATATCACAATTCTGTGAAGTGCCTTCTGTGAAAATTACTCGACCGGTTTGAACACTAAACAATTATTAAAATCGATGCATCCAAACTGTGCTTGGGTAATTGGGCTTACTAATAAATCTGTCATGCTAGTAGACACAAATATACCCTCAAGCTTTTAGCCTCAAGCAGTAACATCAAGAACAACAAACAGACTGGACAAATACTAGCCCAATTGATTTAATCACAAAAATGGAGCTTTCAAAAGAATAACCAAGAAGTACCAAAAGAAACGCACCTCTTCAGTGCGAGTTCCCTTCATGATGATAGCAGTGCTGACGAAGTCGATCATCTCGTCCTCCTCCAGGATCAGCTGGTACTTCTCCTGCTCCAGCTTCATCCCTTGCTCTCTCTCCCTCTTGGCCCCGAAGCTGAGGGAGGCCGTCTTCAGCCTCTCCTCCTCCCAGCGGCCCTGCTCTCCTCCCAGCTCCATGGGATGCTCCTCCAGCTCCAGGTCCCTCTGTGGCACCTCCTAAACAATCAAACCACATACGCACACTTTAGTAGCTGACCGTTTCTGCACATTGTCTCAGAGTGTCACATCCCTCGTTCCCACCTTGTTTCTCTTCTCTTCCGGCATGTAGTATCTGTTCTTCCTCTCATCCTGTTCCTTGGCGCCAGCCTTCTTGTAATCTTTAGCCAGGTCTCGGAGGTTGCGTTTGTATTCCAACTCCTTTCTCTCCCTCTCAGTCAGCTCGTCTGTATGGAAAAGGTACTCGTCGTCATGGATCTCTGCCTCCAAATCTTCCAGCTTCTCTGCCTCCCTCTTCTTTAGGTAATCCCAGCGAGAGCGCTTCCTCAACTCTGGCAACTAGAGAGAAACACAGGAACAGGTGGATCAGAAACTATAGTACATAGTTAGATATTTCAACATTCTCTCAAACCATATATTTTAACACCTAAGGGTAAAGTAATTAAGAAGTATACATGTGACCATGACATATTATGCTGTTTATCAATATAACATTTGAAACTCGTCAGTCTACCATGTTATTCTGGTCGTCTTCAGCCATTTTCAGCCTCTTCTGAGCTTCCTCATACGCCTGGAGAAAAACAAACAAACGGTGAAGATGTTAAGCTGCATGATACATTGAGCTGTATTTGATCAAATGCCTGTGATGTGTTGAAAATGTTCTCGTCTCCCACCTTCTTGTCAGTCCTCTCTGTTATGTTGCGGGTCTTGTCCTTGTCTTTCAGCTTCACTCGCTCTGCAAATGCATCTCGTGCTTCAATGTCCTGCTGTCGCTCCCTTTCTTCCTTCTCCCACTCTTCTTCTTCTTCATCGTCGTTCTTGAGAGACTTCTGATCCCCTTGGCTTGAATTGCCCGTGATATTAGAAACAACATGCATTAGTCATCAGTTATATAAAGCACCCCAGTATTACAAGTACCCAAAGTTAACCTTAGTAGTCCCTGAATACAAAAATATTTATAATTTGCTACTCTTTTCTTATTTTTTTAACATCCAATTACTCACCATTTCTCATTGTGTTCTTAATGTTAATATCGGTGGGACTATGTAAACAGATTGTTCTCTGGTTGGAAACAGTTTAAAAAATAATAATAGAATTACCGTTTAGGTGCTTCCTCCTCACTTGAAGACTCGCTCTCTTTCTTTTGTCTGATGTGCTTCCTCCTGTTCCCTTTGTCTTTGCTTTTCTTTTTCCCTTTCTGTTTCTCAACCACAACTTCTCCATCACTGTCGCTGTCCTCCAGTAATGTGTATGTCCGATTCTTCTTGTCCATTTCAATGGCTTCCCGTTCCATCGCCCGGGCTGGTTTCTCCACAACCTGTTTGCGAGGAATCTATAACAAGCATGGTGAAAGATTGTTAGAGGTTTTATTCCACCAAAACCATACTGAACTACAACAGCTATGGTACTATGTTACTCATTTAAAGTTCCTGTATGTTTTGGCAAAAAGTCTAAACTCAATTAAACTCTTACTCACACTTGTAATACAATTATGCATCCCAATGTGCTTCATATAGCAAGAATAGAACGGCACGGACAAAAAAGAAGAAAAAAACCCCATCAATAATAGAGTTTTGCCATACCTTGTCAAAAAGCTCTTTCGCAAAAGCAACCACACTCGGTTCAATGTCAATCGTGCCCGTCTTCTCCAGTCGCTCCACAAAGTCTTCAGAACTGGAGGCTCTCCTTGCAGTGCCGATCATGAATTGAGACACATGTCTGTCACTCAACCCGAGAATGTCATGGAGACGGTCATTCACCCACTGCTCCAGATTGGCCATGGTGCCTGTTCAAGGATCACAACAACAGACAATCGTTTTTCTTAATGCTGGTGCTGATGTTAAATATTAAAATATAAAGGAAGCCGGTGGCTACAACCAAACATCCAAAATAGGTGGTTTATTAACACATAGTTAAAGTCATAATTTTAATTTTCCCTGACTTTTTAATACTTGATTTTTATTTTAAATTAAAATGGTTGATTACCGCAGGACGAAAGAAGGTAACATTTAAAAATGAAGGAATGACTATGAGCTAAACTCGTTAAAACACACATAAGAAAGAACAAAGATAATAAATAGAAATAAAAAATAGAATAAAATGACGTCAATACTTTGAAACAAATAAGATAAAGTATGTTAAACATGTTTGTATTAAAACGAAAGAGCATTGCCGTTTTTAGATGTTGAAGTTTGTTTGCAGAAATGTGCAAAATGGTCCAAATAACGACGTGTGTTTCACAGCATTAAGTGTGAAGACTATGTACAAACTAGAGATACAACCTAGTCTCACTTGTTTTTCTGGAAAGTAAAATGCAAATTGGGAAAGTAAAAATGTTGACAGTCCTGGGAAAGTAAAAAGTATACTAGCTATAGCTAAACTAGTATGTCTAGCTATATTCCTTGACAGTTCACTAGACCTTACATTTCAATGGAGCACTAGTGAGCTAGTCTGCTTTTGTTTTTGCAGCGTGAGCTTTAACTTTAGATTAAAAACAATAACGTACAGTTATTTCTTAGACACATAAGCTACTCATTGATTTCACTTACCGCTTCTCAAAATGCTCAAACAACGTTGTTGTTATGGTGGAAGTAGCAGGCTGTGTGTTAGCTAACTCCAGCTACAAGTGTTGTTTTAGCTTGAGATGCAGCTCACAAGCTCCCGGTAAGAACACTTAAAGGATACATCCTTTAGAAGCCGTCTATAATTATGTATGTGTGGCTTTATTTTTCCAGACAAAACACCGTAAAAATAACAATAATGAATTAAAGTTTTGCAACGTTAGCTCTGCACACGCTGAAGTAGGAAGCGGAATGACGTCATGTACAAATAAACGAAGAAGACTGCAGCGCTTATTGTCCCCTAGTGGCCATCTGGAAAACAACACGGTGTTAACTTTAAACAGTCTATTGGTTTTACACATGTATAGACTACATTATTTATAACTGTAAAGGTTCTGGGCCACTCAATATACAATTTGTAATCCAAGTACTGATAAATTATTAAGAAAATGTACAACAGTCTACTGTAGAAGTATTGCATTCAAAACTTGAAGAACAAAAGTCTTAGCATTAAAATACTAAAGTACCTCAAGCAAAATAAGTCAGTATGCAAAAATGAACAATTTCAGAATGATATGGCGTTGCAGTTATTGATGCATTAACGTGCATGCCTACACCACTTTAATTAGAAGTATATTAGAAGTATAATATTAGAAGTATAATATTAGAAGTATAATCATATTATGTTTTAATGACCAAGTGCTCACGTCACGCTATAATACTGCTTAAAGTCGGTCTAAAAGATGGGTGAGTCCCCAGCACTACGTAACTGAGAGACTTAAACGGATGTGATAACCACCTTCGGAAAAAAACGACACACTATTTCAGTATGAGTTTTGAGGAAGTGCGCTGATGCTCTCCAAGTCTAAAATCAAAAGTTGAAAGAGCTTTAAAGTTCCTCATCAGGACGTTTAAAGACATCATCTCCTCCTGCGGCCCCTCACTCGATCCTCAGCCCGGACAGAGGGCTCGTCAGTGGCCGGAAGGAGAGATGAAGACCCCGCAGATGATCCGAGATTCCCCGGTGCCTCTTCTGCTGCTGCTGACAGGAGTCTGCATCAACGGGTACAAGCCTGTCATCATCGTGCATGGCCTGTTCGATGGGCCGAAAGAGTTCACAACGATGTTTAGTTACATAAACAAGGTAGGGGTTTCCAAAAGCTAAATATGTGAAAAGTGTTTAATTTAGGGAGAGACTTCTGAAAGACAGAAAAAGCTCAGACCTTCAAAAAACAAAACAAAAGAGCAGAACAGAAGAAATACCCTAGGAAATGTTTATAAGTAAAGGTTATATTAATGTATTAAAATAGTGAGGCATTACCTTGTAAGCATCTATTTGCAGCTTGTAAAAGTGCTTTTAACTACTTTGTAATTAACAAAATAATACATCATCATTTATGAGTTGGTTATTTTGTGTATCAAAAGTCTGAATCTGCATAAATTGGTGACTAAATTCACTATTAAGTACTATTATTAAATAACCTTAAGTACATCTTCAAAGTATACCATTTACTTAACAAACTATTTATAAAACATGATATTTGTTCCATCAGTGAGGCACCACTCAGTTGAATTATTTGAATGGACTGGTCAAACATCCAATTCAACCCAAAATAATGTATTAAACTTATTTCAGGCTTAATATCTACAGTAGCGATGCAGATTATTTTAAAGGCAGTCAGATTTCAAGAAGAGTGAAAATCAGCAAGCAGTTTTAATGTTAGGATTTCTGTCCCTCTGTCATATCCTATTTCTCCAGATCAGTTTTGTTTTGAACATGACTCCACCTGACTGAATCGACTAATAACACAAACAGAAATCAGACTGGTAGTTTGCTGACTGTTGATTTATTCTGTGTTCACCAGGGTTTTGTAACTTCCTTTAAATTATTGTATTCCTAGGTGCATCCAGGCACTGAGGTGAAGGTGATTGACTTGTATGACAACCTGTCCAGTCTGAAGCCCATGTGGAGGCAGGTGCAAGGTTTCAGTAAAGCCTTCGACGACATCGTGCAAAAGGCTCCTGATGGCGTCCATCTTCTGTGCTTCTCACAAGGTCCTAACACTGCATCAAACAACATTTACACTATTTAGCCATAGGAAAATGTCTCTAAGCATCTACATCTGACCATTTTTTTGGATGCAACAGCCAAAGTGAATCATATACGAAGTAAACTACCTTAATTAAAACATAAACAAACATAATGCTCAAACCCCCCAGGACTAAGCTCCGTACCATGGGAGACCGGGCCTTCTGCTCGGCTGCCCCCAGTCTGTGGAACGCTCTCCCCGACCACATGAGAGCACCACAGAGCGTGGAGGCTTTTAAAAAAGGCCTCAAAACCCATCTTTTCAAAAGAGCCTTTGCCTAGACCCTTTTACCATCCTTTTATCTTTATTTTTATTTATTTATTTTTTATTGCTTTTTATTAATTCTACCGTGTTGTGTCATGTCTATTTATACTGTTCCTGCTCACTGCCTGTAGCACTTCGGGATTTGAATTCGAATATGAAGTGCTTTATAAATGGAACCCATTATTATTATTATTATTAATGTTGATCCCTTTCTTTTTTTTACTCGTCATTGTGAGGTTAGTCCATTAATGTAGTAGCAGTGCAATGCGAATTCAATTAAGTTTTCGCCAAAGTCTACTTTTCATCTGTAATGCTACCCTAAGAACTAGCAATGTGTTTCAAAGCTGTTTTTTAACTAGGTTTATTTTAAGACAAATGTACATCAGCAGGATTTGGGGTCTTGACTGTAGTATTGCACTGCTTCAGTGTAAAGAGAGTCATCAGTCAGTCTGACAGAGACCAAGATAATGTGGAACAACTGTGGGTGTTATAATCTGTGCAAGGACAATCTCACAGAGCAAAAGAGAACAGAGTCTCAATTCAACCAAATATCCATCATGAGTATGTAAGAATATTAAGTTAACAAAGTTGCAAAAAACAATGCCGCTAGAAGGTTGTTGATTGCATGACCTTGATGATCTGATTTGCCTTTCACAAGGTCACACACACACACAAACACACACACACAAACACACACACACACACACACACACACACACACACACACACACACACACACACACACACACACACACACACACACACACACATACACATACAGCAGAACAGTAGATACATATGTGGGCAAACGTTCATGAACAAAGACTAAACACAGACACACAGCTGTGCAGTGCAATGCAATATTTAACCCATATGTTAAAAAAAGAAACCTGACCTGCACAAACACACATGAAGTTGAGGAACAATATCTATATGTCAACTCTTACTTCCTCATTTCGGGCATACCGAAATAAGCACCTTTTTCTACTGAAGTGGCTCATGGTTTAGCTTTTAAGAAAACCTTTAACCAACTATTATGGATCGATGTCATTACGTTTAGTAGAGAACTATGCTCCAGAGAGGTTATATTCTATAGACGTTGGTCCACTTTCCATAAGCAGTTCAAAGTTTTTACGTACCCTGCAAAATATCTCAACCATATAGGCAAATAATCTATTTTATTCAGATGATGACTTTGAAGATTCTTTGACTTTTCCTCTAATGCCACCAATAGGTTTTAGTTAAATGTCTTAACAAGAAACAAACTGTCAATCATTATGTATGAGTTTCCAATTATATATAAACCAATACCTTGCAAAAACTACTATCATTCCCCTCAGCATCAGCTTTGTTTGTGTTTATTGCTAGTTAGCAAATGTTTGCATGATGATGCTTGATATGAAAACATTTAGGTTAAAATTATTAAATTACATAAAACACACAATAAAACCACAAATATGGGTAAGAAGGTATTATACTTGTTTATGTTGAAAACAATGTGACTCTGTTGGGCTGTGATCGACTGGATGGTCTTGATCCAGGATCCGGAGATACTATACTCGGGATACTACGATAGTGAACATGGTCAACATTGTACTAATTTTAAAGTGTTAGCATGCTTTGGTTAGCATTAGTTCAAAAACAATGCTATGTCAACTGTAAAAAGAAGCAAACTCTTACATTTTCAGTATGTTTTCTCCTCAAAGAGCAGGTTTCATAGTTAAATGGTCTGCTGTGATCCAAAAGCCCTAATGGAGGAGATAGTAGGACGGATGGATAACATATATGGTTTTAGGCCACATTAATACATTTTTTCTAAGTACAGCCTCACAACCACTAGCCACTAAGGACAGTAGAAGAACATATCCAGTCTTGCTAGAATCTGATGAAACACCTGCAGTGGGAGGCACCAATTTAGTAATCAGAGTTATAACGTTCCAACCCTTATGAGATGCATTTTAGAGAAATTAAAAGAATAACTGCATCATATCTTATACTCTAAACTGGTTTGTCAGCATTGGCTTGATATTGTGTCCTCTCCTTTTCTTTTAAAGGTGGTTTAATTTGTCGAGCACTTCTCTTCATGGCTCCAGATCACAAAGTGCACACCTTCATTTCACTGTCGTCCCCACAGGCCGGGCAGTATGGAAGTAAGGGAGCTTCATTTTGAGTTTGAATCCTGTCTGTATAACCCATGTCCTCCAGGTAATAATGACATTTTAGGACTATCAGTTAATTCACAAGAACTTGTAACAGTAATGATTGGTCTCAGATCCTAAAGCAGAGGTTTTCAAAGTGGAAGGAGCAGAGTCTCAGTGAAGGGAAAACACTATACCACCAGTTATTTGATAAAGAGACGGTTCATGGATACAGTTTGGGGGATTTCTGCCTAAGGATAGACCTTTTCTATGTAATCAGATGATTTAACAACAATATTAGGTTATGTTGGCTCACATGTTGAGCCTTTATAGTACAAATAATGATTGTGATCCAATGGACATGCATTTATTGAGTGAAACTAAGAAAGTAAAGGGGTCAGGGCATGTTGGTCAGGGAACATCTTTTTTCCAAGCTCTGTCTAAAGGGAGGCCCATAGTCTGAGAAACCCCTGTTCTTAATTTCCAAACACTTCTTTACTCCACAGACACAGAATACCTGAAGCGGGTATTTCCTGACTATGTGAAGAAGACTGTGTTTCATATTTGCTACAACAGAGTGGGACAGAAAGTGTCTATCTGTGACTACTGGAACGGTGAGCATGATGATTTGAAAAGCAGAACAATTTAAGCTTTAACTGAGGAGAACCAGCACCTAGTATTATATTCCCTGTTGAAAAGACAATACATATATCTATGAATCATTTCTCCACAGACCCTCACCATAGGTCCCGCTACCTGCAGAGCAACAGCTTTCTGGCGTTGCTCAACGGGGACAGACCTCACGGCAAAATGAAAGGTAGTGAAACAAATTCATTAAATGAGCTGTATACTTTTGCATGTGCAGTAAACATTTACAGACATGCATTTCTACATTTGACAGCATGGAGGGAAAACTTTCTGCGCATCAAGAAGCTTGTGCTGATTGGAGGACCAGACGATGGCGTCATCACACCATGGCAGTCAAGGTTTCATCACATTTACAATTTGTTCTTCAGTTTATTCTCCTTCATTTTTTAATGTTTGGGAAAAATACAAATAATTATTTAGTTTAGTTGAATATATTAGCATTCTTATCATAATGTCCTGGTATATATTTTCTCTAACAATGACGACATGCTAAAATACAAACATACTAAAAGATGGTTATTGGGTTGTTTACATAACAAATCAGCAAAACACAGGAAGAAAACATGAACAAAAAATGAACAAAAACAATAAAATATTTGCTATGGCATTAAATGCTATAAATAAAACTGTATTTAAAATCTGAAAAAGGCTAACTGAATAAACTATCACTTCCACAATTCTCATGATATCTGAAAAAAACCCAACCTTTAATTATGTGTTTGGTTTTCCTGCATTTTGCAAATTAAATCAAATGTTTTTTATGGCATTAAAGTCTTTATAACAATTACAACTTGAATACACAAATGCATGCCAATATGAACGTTGTTTTTTTAATGGAGACCTGATATTGCAATTGTCCTTTATTTATTTTATGATGCCAATTTTATAGGGGGAATGCTGGCTTTAAAATGAATACATTTTATTTTTGAAAACTTGTGCATGTGAGTGCCACATTTCCCCCAAAATCTCCTGTGGTAGAAACACCCTTTGCTTAGAAACATATTGAGGTGCCAAACAATGAAATGGTATCTAACAGAGTCTTCAAAATGTGTGTTGGGTGAACAGTTTCTGGTCAAAACTGCAGCATCGGTTTCAAGAAGTCTTCACCTGGACTGACTGTTTCCTTTTTTTCCGCACAGCCACTTTGGATTCTATGACAGCAACGAAACCATTGTAGAAATGAGGAACCAGGAGGTAAGTTACAAAGTGATGTATGCATACACCATTGTATCACTTCTATATTGACTGAAAGCACCACTTCATTTTTACCCTCTGGGCCCTCTGCATTATTGTAGAGATCTCTCTCTTCCTTTTTCGTAATAACCCGCCCTTCTCTTCCTCTCTCCTTTTGAAAGTTTTACAGAAACGATACATTTGGGTTGAAGATGCTAAACGCTCGTGGCGACGTGTCGATGTGCCTTCACTCTGGAGTGAAACACGTTCAGTGGCACTCAAACTACACCGTGTTCAGGAGCTGCATAGAGAAGTGGCTCACTTGAAAACAGAGTGAGAGATGTTAATGCAAGCTATTATTTATCTAAAATAGAGTATATAATCTAAACTGTATTTCATGTATATGATTTTCCTAAAAGACTAAACCAAAATAAAAAATATTTAAAGCTTCCATTCTTATTTCCTTTATGGCTGTGGGAAAATAGACAATGGTTCTATATTTTAATGTTGTAGGTTCCAATAATGTATTTTAATAATGAGGTCAATTAACCAATGTTTCAATATTAAGATTGCAGTTATAGTTCACTTCTTTACCAGGTACATCTTTCGATTAAATACCAAATTCTGAGGACTTTTTCTCCTAGAAGTAGTCCAGGGTACATTTGTCTAATGAACCTTTTTATTAGTTTTTCCATTTAAACTTAACCCAAAAGGATACATTGAAACTCAATTTGTTTTAATCATGCTCAAATGGTCTTTCATATTGGAGGTAAAAGTCAGTCTGAAGCAGGCCATGCATCGTGGCAATTCATGAGCCATGAGCGATCAATCTCTGACCTCTGGTGGAAGTTTCTGGTACTCTGGAGTCAATGTAAAGAGTGAATTCACACAGTGGTGAACACTAATTTGACCTCAACTCTTTGGGGTTAAACTTTGAGGAATAATATTGAGTCTTAACCAACAGAGTGCAGCTTAGTGATATATTTCTGTCTTATGTGACTTGGTGTTAACTGATACTTTAAGAAGATCTGAAATGTTGTATATCTGTATTAAATATAGTATTGTTGGAACACCAATCTCTTAAGTATTATTTGTATATATTTTTTTCAGACTTCTTTTTCAGGGCGTCATTTGCGCTGGAGACGGGTCCCACATCTACAGGAGAAATTGTCCCCACCACTTTTTCTAACAATACAAAAAACGTCCATTTTTGTATTGTTTCTGTTCTGATTTTATGTAAAGCTTCTTTGAGCATTAGGAAAAGCGCTATCAAAATCCCATGTATTATCATGGTTCCAGTACACTATTTTCTTATCAAACTATTACATTTTTACCCATTTATGACATTGTCAGAGTTGCTTATTCATCTCTTTTATAATGCTCTGGTGTTTTGTTATTGTTACTTTGGACAGCAGTTTTTTTGAGGATGCTAAAGTACAATAATAAAAAAAGGCCTTTAGATAAAAATACTTTTACAGTACCATTAAGAACAGCCTCAAAATCCGTTCACACAATACAAGTGAAGAGATCGTCACCATGAAAACGAATATTCTGTCCCTGGTTTAATTTGAACCCTTTAAGATTGATCTATAATTATCCAGTTTTATTGAAAGTTATGTTATCTATGCACCTTGTCAAGCAGATTTTAGGCTACATAATACTCAATTGGCCTCTGACTGCAGAGTATAGGTTACATGTTGACTCTTTAGCTCTTCACACTAGATAAAAGTAGGGCAGGGGCTGTGATCAATCAATTAAACGCATTGATTTTAATTAATAAACTGATTCATAGGGGTTGAGTTATGGATTGTGTGTTGGGCTAATTAAAAAAATGTAAAGCTTACACATATATATAGATTACAATACAAATCTAGGATTATTATACGTTGTTCTGAAATAGTTAAAGTGTTAGTTGTTGTAAGAAGAAGAAGAAGAAGAAGAAGAAGAAGAAGAAGAAGAAGAAGAAGAAGAAGAAGAAGAAGAAGAAGAAGAAGAAGAAGAAGAAGAAGAAGAAGAAGAAGAAGAAGAAGAAGAAGAAGGTGGACCTTTATTGATCGTATATGTTTTTATATAATTGTTTGGCACAGGAGGTGGGAGAAGTACTCAGAGTGAAGTACTCTTGTACTTAAGTAAAAGTAGAAGTACCAGAGTGAAGTAAATGTCCTGCAATCAAAATATAACTCAAGTAAAAGTAGAAACGTATTAACATCAACCTATACTTAAAGTACCAACAATAAAAGTACTCATTATGCAGATTGGCCCATTTCAGAAAATTATAAATTGCATCTTTTTTGTTGTTGTAATGATTTATTAGAGTGTTATCAAAGCTAGTTAAGGTGCAGCTAAGTTTAAGTACTTTGCATGCTACAGGGTAGCTTGTGGATTTTACACTTTAGTGAAATTAAAGTGTTATTTAAGTACATTTCACATCATTAAACAGAATCTGCAAGGTACCTTATGGTACTAAATGCATGTAGTGGAGTAAAAAGTACACACATTTACCTCTGAATTGTAATGGGGGTAGAAGTACAAAGTATCAAAACATTGAAATACTTAAGTAAAGTACAAGTCCCTCAAAATTGCAATTAAGTACAGTACTTCAGTAAATCTACACCACTGGAGGAGGGACAACATGGCCCCACTCTCCCCTCCTGTTTGCACACCTCCCCAAACAGGTATGAGCTGTGACGTCAGCAAGGTGACACCAACCGCCTCTCTTCCGTTGCTGCTCCGGTGTGCTGCGACCACAGACTGTATAGCGACGCGCCTCAGACCAGCTCCAGCAGAGATTTTTATGTAAGAAACTTTTCTTAACTCTCACATGTGTTTTGTTTGTGACTTGGCATCGTTTTGAGGCGAACATGAACATTTCTTCCTCGCTTATCGGACTTTAAACTTCTCTCAGCGCGTGAAACCCGGGTCCAGGGGTGAAAGCTAACGTAAGATTTTCAAACATACTTATTGTGCCTGGCTAAATGTTTGTTTGTGACGTAAAAGTGAACTCAACGACGTTCAATGATTATTATATTCAGGAAACACTCACTGCTCCGCTTTCACACCGTGGCGTTACTTTCGCGTTGAACCGCTGCACTTCAGTCGCTTAAAATAGAATCAGATACATGATAGTTGAACTGTTTTCCACTGGATGATGAAGCGTTTTCCCCCTGGGAACATGTCTCGTGCTTTGGTGACATGTCGCATGCTGTTGTATTTAGGCAGTCAAAGGTCGAATATGGTGGCTATATGTATCCCATTTATGGGTTAAGTTCACGGTTTCCTTAAGCAAACACATTAACATGTATCATATTTAAGGGTTGTGTTCACGGTTTCCTCATTCAAACACATAATCATGTTAAGTTCACGCCACATCATTGTTTTATTTAGTCCTAAATGGTTCTAAAATGATAGTCTGTATGTTTTCTGGGTTTAAAATGATTCATGGAAGTCTAATTTCTGACTTGTGAGGAGGGAAAAGGTTCATGGAGAGACTGACTGTTGAAGAGAGAGTTCCATTCATCGACTGGATTTACTGTCAGCGTGGCTCAAGGTCGACGTGTCCCGCCCTGTGGGCAGCTACAGTAAACACCAGCAGCTGAGCTCAATAAAGTGAACAAAACCCCATACAGGGAAGAGATATACAACTCAATCAAAAGCAAAAGGCAGACACATTATCTCAAACAAGGTGGATTATATGGCTCTATCAAACTTTATATGACCTGTTTCTATGGAAACCGAGCTGGAAAATTAATTCTTTTCCATAAAAAAAACTAGTCATTGCCAGCTGTTAGGCTAACATCAGGAAAAAATAAGAAAATAATCTTTCTCTCCTATAATCACCTAAGAGGTCACAAGTTCAGTCTGTGGGTCTTCTTTCTGACTCTGTAATAACTCGCTCACCCTTTTTCTGATTTCTTCTGATATAATGAACATCATTGAAAACAATAAACAACAGGTCACCCTGAGAAATTGCTTTGGTTTATACCACAAATCATTTGTGTGTAATTTTAAAGAATGAAAACTTTTCCTCCGGTTTCTAAAAAGTGGTTTTCGCCTTTTCAGATTGTTTAATTTGAATAACTTAGGAGTCCTAAAGAGGTTACATATGCAGTATTCTTTGTTGGAAAACTGTATAGTGTACAGCTAAGCAGATGGCTCTGTGAGGTGCTCATGATTTAGGTTAGGAATCACTTCTTTTGAATGCATCCCGTTTTTTTTCTGCTTTGATTTACAGAGAATTTCCAACATCTATCGGGACAACAATGTCCACGATGTCCTCCAGAGGTAAACATGAATTTTGCCGAATGTGTGGCGGAGCTCTCAAGGGAAACCAAAGGCGGTGGCTGTTTGGGGGATTGAATAAGAAGGCCGGCCCGCCTCAGACCCCGACAGAGTCTCTGAGGGGAGGCAGTCTGTCCCGGTCCTCGCAGAGCAGCCCCTGGGGTGAGTCTGGAGAATAAGGAAATATAGCAAACTACCATGCATTAACGTCACTCATTATAGCATTATCAATTCAAATGCAAATGCAGATGTCATCTAGCTAGTGACAACTTGGGAAAGTAATACAATGTACACAAATAATAAATGTTCTCTTCAATAGTGGAAATAAAATGTTGCCTTAAACTGTAGAAAAACGAAATGTTTCTCTTCACAGGCAGCATGTCATCTCTGGGTTCCTCCATGTCTCTCTCCAAGTCCCAGTTATCCCTGAACTCCCCGTCCAAAGGGATGGATCTGCTCTCCGTGTTGACCCACATTCTGGGGCAGTGTGTACCACGCGGCCACGGGCAGGAGGAGTTTGTGTGTGGCAAATGCATGTGCGTCCTGGAGCGGGTGTTCAAATTCGACACGGTGATATCCAGGGTGAGGGTGCTTTCGTCCGAGAGGCTCCAGAAGCTGATGCAGGAGAGGGACAAGATCAGACAGTGGGTGCGCCAATGCTACTACCAGAGAAACCCGCGGGACCTCCAGAGCCAGGGCAGCACCAGCGAGGAGGACGGAGATGGGGAGAAGGAGGGCTACAGGGAGATGCTCAAAGAGAATATGGTACTCTCAGAGTACGAGTGCTGGTCCGAGAAGTGGGACACATGCCCGTATTTTATAAGAACGGGTAAAAGATGCAGAAAAGGCAAAGGGTGTGAAGGCTGTGATTCTTTACGGGTGTCCGACTCGGATTATGAGTCTGTTTGTGGGGTTCCTCGCCGTCTGCCTTTCCAACCCTTCTCCCCGCTGGCATTGTCACGGGACAAATCTCAGAGCATGCCCCTCCACTGGCAGAGGATGTCAACCTGCAGCTCCAGCCCCTCTTCACTGGCAGGGTCCACTCTGTCCTTACAGGCGTCTTCTCGCACAGCGTCCATTCAGTCTCTGGACTCTCTTGATTGCAACGATCCATTTGACTCACCAGGAGTTCAGTCGACTAACTTTGTGCTGAAAGAGCTGAGAAGTATCGAGGGGAAGCCGGTCAGTTCTCCATCGGGGAGTAAGATCCCCGTTCTGGGCAGGAAGTACTCGGGTAAAGCTGGAGAGATGGCGTCACCCTCAGTGAACAAGGTGCTGATCTTTGGGAATGTGGAGAACGGAGGGGGGGACATGGATGCAGAGGACGGGGATATCTTATCAGAGCTGAGGGAAGAGTTCATGCCTCTTCATGGAAAGGTGAGTGTTGTCATTTCAGTCTGAGCATGCCTTAGACTTAAAATGTACAATAAACAGTGTCTGAAAATAAGGGTGCACCTATAAACTGAGTTTGAGGGGCAAAATATTTAGAAATGTTAATAGCAAATATTATAAAAATAAACCAAGTGAAGTGCATTTTGAAGTCCCAAATCTAGAACATGATACAGATAATCAAGTCTCTTATTTATTCCATCCATGTTTAAAACGTGTTATTTTTGTGAATGATCCGTATACTGATTCATTTCATTTACAAAGGCTATTCAAATCTAAATAAAAGCCAAATATTTATAACTGTTTCCTCCTTGCTCTCAAACACACATATGATGACACACTTGAAATGGCAATATTCTGCTTTTTACTCGTGTTGGCACAAAGTGGTGATTACTGTATGCAATGTAAGTTGGGCTTTTTAAAAATATAAACAGCAACTGGCAAAATTATATATTTTCTAAAGTGACTGCCAAATGACCCGATTTTCCAAACGGTAGGGGCAAAAGATGCGTCCCAAATATTGGTTTTAAAATCCTCCGCAACTTTTTTTATAATAAAGAACTCTAACCAGATTAAATATTGACACAGTGTGCATCAATAGATTCATCCGGGAGCAAGTGAGGTCAGTCCAGCAGTCCAACAAGACTTAAATAACACTTGTTTTTTAACTTAATAATACCATGACCCATGTTTACCATGAAACCATTTGTGATTCCAGAGCACCTCTGGGAGGGTTCACCACGCTGCCAAACACCTGCGAGGCCAGCTGGACCAAGCGCTGTCCCACATCAGGACCCTGGAGGCCGAGCTGAAACATGGGAGGAGCAAACCAACTGAAGTTAATGGGGCGGAGGACTGGGCACCTGTGAGCATTCCCTTTGTTCTCCCACAGTCCTTATTTGAGATGAGCATATGTCTAGAGAGAAGTTTCAGTAGTTAATTTGCAAAGTGTGTTTATTCCCTCTCTTGTCAACCAGTTAGCGTAGCTTAGCTTAAAGACTGCAAACAGCAAGTCTGACTCTGTCCAACAATAACAAAATATACCTACCCTCACCTGTAATGCTTAACTATATAAAGGCACACTATGTTAAGTCTATCGGATAACATTAGTATCAGGTGTCCAATTTAAACGTGCTATTCTCTTCTTTCCTGGTCATAGTAGCCATCGCACCACAAAGTGTAAGTGTGACACCCTAAAAACCGTTTTGTCATGGATAAAACAAAATAAATAACATGATCATCATTTACAGTCATTGCCATGCTAATCTAAACTAACTGGCTGCTAGTTATATCTTCATTTTTAATTAAATCTTATGACAGTGGTATCAATTCTCATCTGCCTCGGCAAGAAAGCGTAAAGTGTTACCCAAAATATTGAACTGCTCCTTCATACAATTCAAAGTTTATCAATATATGCAATATGGGGGAAAAACAAATGAATCTCTTAACTCAATGATTATCTTAAATTGAGATAACAATAGGTTGAGAGGTCTGTGAAGTTGTGATGTAAAAAGCCTTTAAAGCAAACCGTTGTTATTTTAACCTGCTGTCTTAAGAGATAATTGCCTCCTAACCTTTTTTTGGACGCAAGAAAAACAGGTTGATGACGCAGTGCAACAATTCTCAGCAGCTCCTGAGTCACATGTCCAAACAGCTCCATTAATCACTGTGTGAATGTTGACTGAGCACAAATCTAATGCATGAAAGGAATGGAGGGTGGATGTACTGTGTTTTTGTGTCTGTTGAAGGGTGTGTCCGCATTTCCTCACTTAACGGTGGAGATAAGGACACACACGCACACAAACACACTCGTACAGCCTCTCGCAGGAATCCTCCCCGACCGGTAGAGTTTGCCCAGGGCTTAGTAGTGTTATCGTAGAGAATATCATTAAGAAGCGCCTTAGCTGCTTCGAGTTCACATGAGCTGATCTCTGCTTTTCATGTGAACACAATGTTCCTCATTCTCACAGAGTTGAATATAAAAAAATAATTTATGAGAAATATGTAGAAGTGGCAGCAGGTTTAAACATGAACAGTGCTCAGTTTTAAGAGCAAATCTGTCAATGGATTTATGAATCAAAGTATATTACTATCACATTTAAAGACTGTAAAAGTCAGAGAAAAAAACATAACCTGATAACTTTGTTGTAACTTATAGCCTGCTGAGCTATTAACCTTATAGGTTAGTTCTACTGAACTGAATGTGACAGCTGAGTCTAACAATAGGCTGAACATAGTACTGACCTGAATTCTGTATCAGCACTACACTGTTGTCTGCATTGCAGTGCATTCACGTACAGCTGTATGTACTGAAGTGCATTAACAGCGACCGCTTATCTTAGGGAAATAATGTGAAAGAACCACATAATTGACTCGCCAAAAAGGTTTGTGAATTCCTTTCAAACATGCATTGAGTATTTGTAAAGGAGAAAAGTAGCAATGCATATTTACATTATAAATTCATCTGTGATCTTTAAATCAATAAATAGTGATGGTGAAAATGTAACATTGCATGTCCAAAGACAAAAGGCAGCAAGAGACAAATAGCTTTTCACCAGCCAAAACATCAATGCCTCATGAGTCTGTTTGTGTGTAACCATGGTGAAATGTGCTCCTGGAGACCCTTACTGTAGTGGGAACCAACACTCAATCTGTTCAGTAATTTGCCAGTTGTTTATAGTTTTGTCTTTCTAGTCTTACGTTAAAGAAAATTGAAAATATTAGGGTTTTTGGGCCATTTGATGGACAAAACAAGGCACTTGATGATATTTTGAAAGGCATTTGTCACCGTATTCTGTTTTTAATAATTGTTAGTTGCTACACCTAAACCCAAGCCATAGATTCTGGCCCCAGCCCTATTCTTGAAACTTGAATTTGACTTTTGAAAGTTGTTATTTGTTTTCCTCTTCCCTTCAGTTGGTCCATGAGAAGGATGGCAGCTCCCTGCTGCAGAGCCTCGGCCTCTCGCTGCACAGCCGGGAGCGTCTGATCCAGGTGGGTGAGGTGATGAGGGGGGACAGGAGTCAGTCATGCACACAGCCGTGGGATCTTCTGCCGCTGCCCGAGCTTTGGCTCTAAGCTCACAGGAATGTTGTTTGTCTGTGTAGTCCCCCGCCTACGCCCTTAAAGCTGCAGTGCCAGAGCTGCAGTCACGTTGTCTGCTCGTACATAGTGCTAGTGACACTGATGTGTGTTTGCTGCTTTTATTTTAGCTACTGATTAACAGCAGGAGTTTTATTGTAAATCACTCTGGATGAACGTTATAACTAAACGGCCAAAGCATTCAAGACGTATAGTGAAAAAGAAACACCACAGACTAACTTATCTGAAAGGTTGCTTTAATGGAATACAGCCTATTAAAGATTACAAATAAGTGACAGTATAACGAAGTCCCTTTTGGACTTTTACCTTTGGTTTTGTTCTGTGCCACACTGATCAAATGTAATGTCCAAATACATAAAACAACTCTGTACTTACTGTTTCCGTGATGAGATTTAGATGAGAATATCACGGCCACACTCATATTTGTCTGGTAAATGTGAAGCCACAGACAGCAACTTGTTAGGTTAGCTTAGCTTAGCATAAAGATCAGAAACCTGGGGAAACAGCTGCCTGGCTCTGTTTAAACGCAGCAAAAACTCAATATGGCCTGTTAATTATTAGGCTGGTAGGCACATTTTACTCTGCACGAAGCTTTGCTAGCTGTTCCCCATGTTTTTGTGCTTAAATTAACTAACCAGATGCTGGCTTTAAAGTCATACTTATACAACTTTCTCAACGTACTTTTACCAATAAAACAAATAAGGACATTACCACCTTCCAACAATTTATTTTAAAATAGGCAAAAAAAATGCTTTTAGGTGTTTTACGAACATGCATGCATCTAGCTTAGAATAATACAGTGATACATCAGCTGTTTATATGCAGTGAAAATTGAGTTACATGGCATTTATATTTTATAAAAAATAAAACCTGATCCCCTAAATCCTAATGTCAAAACAAATGTCACCAACATTTCCAGGAGGTACATTTAGTCTTGTGATTTTGAACAGATTTTGAGTTACTGGTTGAGTAGATAAGTCATGCATTTGTCTGTCTGATGGAGCTGCAGATTTATGACTGCACTCCCTGATGTTTGCATATGTATCAGCGTTGCTCTGGCCTCTACAGTATGTGAACACTTGGCTCAGGTTATTCATTTATTTTTTGGGGGAAACTTTTGTATTACAGTTTTCCCCTAACTGTGCTGTCAGATGAATGTATTTGGCACTAAGCAGGCAGATGTTTCCTCTGCTACAGGAGTGTATGGGTCTGATCAGAAGGCTGTGTGTGGAGGAGGGAGGAAGTGCGGAGCTAGCCAACAAGCTGGCTGAAAATCTGAAAGAAACTACATCTGCCAACAAGGTTAGTGCTGACACTGTCCTTTTCCATCCTCATTATTGACTTGTTTTTTTCTGTCTGCTTATGATGACATTTGACCCACTTAATGAAGCAAAGCAGTTATCGGCAGGAGCAGATAGACTCAATGCTGCTGTCCCTGAAGGCTTCTGTATTAGCAGAGCAGATCTTGTGGTTCCTACTTGTGTTTTTACCTGAGGCCTGCAGGAAGTTTTACCAGTCTAGCAGCGGCATGTCAGTTATTACCTCAGGCTCTGTGGAAAAAAATAAGGCTGATGTATCACTTTTATTTTAAGTTAACTCCATTTTTACATTGAATCTCACAAAATGAACATATTGTTTTTGATTGCAGATTTTAACTTTAAGTCAAACTTGCATTGACGTTGAATGAATTGAATTATTAAGATCATTTGAAAGTATTGTTACATACAGCTGGGAATCACTGAAAACAACAACATATTATTTTCCATATGGTGGCTACTGGCTTCTAATCACACTTTCGTCTTTGGCTGGTATGATTGTGAAATGGGTATTAGATTGAATTCTAAAAAAGGTCTCTAAAAGTCTTAAATGTAACTTGGTGAACCCTGTAGAAACCCTGGTCTGGAAGTTAACCTTAACTATACGTAAAGCAGGAGTTAGTTTGTCAAAACATAAATTCTACACCTCCTCCCGCACCACGTTGTGTTAACCAGGAAGTAAGATGCTCAAAGTAATGTTTGATGCTTTGTGATCTGTAGGCTGCCCTGCAGACTTTGAGGTTGGAAGTGACCGAGAAGGAGAAGAGCATGGAGAAAGAGATTGAGGCACTCAGGAAGGCTGGAAGAGACAGAGAGAAAGACCTCGACATGCTCAACACCGTGCTGCAGTGCAACCAGGATATCATCAATGTAGGAACAAGTACTGTACACACACACACACATCAGAAACCAGGGATGGAATTGGCTGCATTGATGTTAAGACCACACACACACAATGTGTTATTTTTGAGTACCCAGCCCTATCAGGCACTGTATACATTTGTACTCTGTCCCCTGTGCTGTTAACTTTGCGTGTACTTTAAGTGTTATTAAGAAAGACCTTCATTTTGTCCCCACTGCAGGACCTGCGAGTGGCTCTGGGGGAGAAGGAGCGACTGCTGATGGAGGTAGAGAAAGAGAGGGAGGTATGGAGACAGAGGGATCGAGCCCTCGCTACTGTCCTGCAGGAGAAGGACGCTCTCATCCAGGAGCTGGAGAGCTGTCGCAAAGATACACAGGTAATAAACAACAATGTCATTTCTGTTGGGGGTAGTGTCTTGGCTTCTTTACTTTTCAAAGCATTTAACATCTTCCACAGTAAGAACAAGTTGCAGAGCTTGCATTGTCTCTGTAATATTGAATAAGGAAACGTTTACTCACAACATTTCCCCCTGTCTGGCTCTGTGACTGGTCAGGGGTTGGCAGTGGACAGAGAGGGAAATGGCGCCACCTTGTGCAAGGAGGTTGAACAACTCACCACAGCCCTGCAGGAGTACCAGGACATGGTGCAGGTGAGACATTAGCATGGCAATGATAAATGGGGGGAAACAAAAAAGCGGCCTACATATTGACCTTTTTCCAAAAAGAAAAAAGATCTTGTTACACTTTCTTTTCACACTTGAATTTACACAAAATAGGATTTCATTTTTTTTTGTTTTTAACTCAAGGCCATGATTGCAAGGTATGATAAAAACATATTTGGTCATTCAATAAATGATTGACAAAAATTACATGTTTAATTTTTGGGTAATTCATTCATTGTTTCAGTCATTTCTCAAGCAAAAAGTGGGACATTATTCCTAATATTATCAGACACCAGCTTCTCAAAAGAAAATATTTGGTGTTTATTCTTTAAAAAATGTTTTTGGTCAAATAGAAATCTCTACAATAGTCATATTAAGCTCTTGGAAGTTGGGTGGACGTTGTTTGACGACACACAACACGGCAAACATCAAATCTCAGGGTTTCTAACTATTAGTTTTTCTCTTCACCAGAACCAGCAGCAGAGCCACAGTCAGAGGGTGTCCTCTCTGTCGGAGCAACTCAAAGACACCCGGCAGGCGCTGAGGGAGAAAGAGAAGGAGAAGAAGGAGGCGGACAGAGTGTGGCAGAACAGCAGAGAGGACCGAGAGAGAGAGGAGAGGAAGCTGAGGGACAGTCTGGAGAAGAGAGACAAACTCATAGAGGTGCGGTGCTGGAGTAGGATACTGATTGATCTTCCATGTTAGTCTACAACCAGTGTTTTATATACTGTAGACCCACAGAGCCAAATCTTCACCAAATAAGTCCCACACACATATTCTTCAGAAAATATCATCAATTATATAAATTGTTAATAAAAAAACATTCCTTCAATAAAAACATTAAACAATTCCAACATCAGGCAGGATTTTGGTGTTAGATATTCAATTTTAAGGTCGGATTACTTTTTATATATGCAAAATCATACCAATAAAAATATGAGGTAGAAAACGAATGTTATCGGCAGTCTCTGTAGAGGCTTATTGAGAAGGTTATGCTATAGTAATGTAGGGAATAAAAAAAACAAAAAGTTGGTCAACAAAAGAGTAAAGTGCAACAATTCAAGTATTAGTCTGTGATAAACATTTTCTTATTATCATTAAATCAACTCAAAAAGAAAAAGTTCCTGCAAAAAAACATGTCTTGTGTGAAATGTGTGATAATCTGAGCTTTATTATGAACAATTGTGATGGTGACTGAGATCTTTACGTTTTCTTCCATGTAGCAAATCCTGGTGGATGCTGAGGAGCGGGACCATCTGTTCAGAGAGCTGCAGCAGAACCTGCAGAACAAACCTCTGACCGGCATCAAACACACACTGTGATAGCCAATGACTACTGTACCGACGAGATGCAAACTAATTGCACAAAAACAAAAGATTACTTTTGCACTTTCTGCACCACCTTTCTGCCTCTTCAGCATATGTATCGTGGTGTACATCAAATGTATTTATATTAAGCTCCTTACGTTTTTGAGGTTCGCCAACCTGCCTTGTTTTGGCAACTTTCCTCTATCACTACCTGCCTGACTCTCTGCAGTGAATCAGTCATTTCAGACTTTAGAGAGTCAGACAGTCTGTTGTTTTCAGTAAAGAGACATGTCAAGCTTTTCATAGCTGGATATTTAATACTTGATTTATAAAAACATCTGATTACTGTGTTTGGTTAAGTTTTGAATGTAATATGGGTCTAATGGTCAGGAAGAGATTATAATTTCATGCTGTGGGATTGCTGTTTCAAACATTTCTGAACAGTTTGATTGTAACTGAGATGTAAGAGAGTCATATGATGAACTTTCATGTTATCCTTTTGGAAAGGAGCGGGTAAAATATTGCTTTAAATCTGAATTAGCCTTTCTATGCAGTCTTTATTGTGTTTGTGTTGTCACCATTATGGTACATAACTCTACTTTTTTAGTTTACAGTGCAAGGTTAGAACTAAGAGGGGAATACTTGGGACCAAAATAATATTTTTGAATTGCTTTAATTGTAGCTTTTAAAGCCGTTGTCAATTTTTTTTTGAACATTTCTCAATTTTCTTTAATGTTTACCTATGTTAATATATTGTTGGTCTGGGACTTATTACTGGAATGATCTTCTTTCTTTTAGCTCAAGAGAATTAAAAGCTCTGATCCAAATAACCTTTGTCTACAGACGCTGTTATTCATGCATGCTTGGTGATGCTGCTGGTTTCTGTTCCACATTCTGTATTCCCATGTATTCACATTTTCTTCATGTTCTGTGTTAGTTGCTATAGAAAAACAAGACTAAGATAATGTATGGCTCATAAGTTTAATTGAGGCATGTCATTTTTTTAATTATTTCAACAGCGTTTACAATAAATCATGTTTGTCAGTCATTTTGGTATTGCAGATAGGTTAAATAGGCTACCACAATTTATCCTTTTTTCTATTGCTGTTCATATTTATTTGTGGCTTTTTTTTATTAATCTGCAGATTCATTTGATAATGGGTGTCTTTCTTTTTTTCATCTATTTATAAATATAATATTGGCATCTTAAATCGTAACTAGTCATAGTTGCTGAATTAATTGGTACATTTATTTAAATGCAGATTATCAGTCGTTTAGCTTTGACCTGCTGTTTCGTGCCGAAGTGCAGCCTGGGAGTCGTAGTTAACTTACTACTACCTCGAAGTTTTTATGCGCATAGACTTGCATCTCTTTGACTTTCCCTCCAAACCAGAAACTGCTGTTGATCTGTAGTGCTGTGCTGATATTCAGTTTCATGTTGATCCAACCTGTCGATGTGCTTTATCTCTGAGTGGTTACATTGTCAGCGGGGATTTGACTGTTAAAGCCGGTGTTGAATGACACGGCCCCCTGTCTTCTCCTCACGGTCCAATCACTTAATGGCTTTGCGTTTCTATAGTTACTTGAGGAACTGTTGCTATGGAGCTCATTCTTCAACACTTCACACAAAGTTTTCCCCCTGAATACTTCACTGTGGACAGGTTTATCTTTCTCAGGAAAGTTACAGCTGGTGGTAAACCCTTTGTTTTAAAGCAGAGAAGATGCAGGTCCAGTCGGTGCCGCTTGGTTCGGTCACCATCGGACCGGAGTCTTGGCGCGATGGGACGCTCCTCTGCATCCAGCGGGCGGAGCGCCTGGTTCGGCAGACTCGTGCCGGGCGGTCCGGTACCAGTAGCCGGCCTCGGAGCTGCAGCGCCTCCGCCGGTTTCAGCCCAAAGCACACAGACTGCACAGCGGAAACGGATAAGATCACAGCGGAGGAATGCAGAGAGAGTCGTGACTGCAAAAATAAGATGTCGAGGCCCCAAACTACAGGAGCAGGGGTGAGAAAACACAGGCGTGCAGAGAGACGTGATAGCTGCTGCTCGGTTTGTTTAGAGAGACATTCACTTATTTGACACTCACAAGAAACAACATTTAGTGTAGCCTATACTGAACATTTTGAGGAAAACTTTTAAGACTTTAGGATGAGGTGAGATGTTTTCAGAGATCAAACACTAACATTGATTATCCAGCACCCAACAGACCCACACTATAACTTCTTATCAGGCTATAAACTGGCATAGTGGTATGTGAAGTAGTAAGTCAGACATATCAATTTACTCTTACAAGTAATATTCCTGCAACAAAAACTACAAAATGTGCCTAAAAGTAAGAAATACTTTAAGCATACTTGAATCACAATATCCAAACACAAATAAGTATTTAGCATAGAGAATTATCCATTCAGAGTGTTACATTATGAAATGCAATATATTACATTATTGTACTACAGTTAGGCTAGTACAGATTGATTATATTACCATAATTTAGTAAATAACTTATATAATATTTTAGAGGCTGATATGTTTTATAGCCTGAATCTGGAACTATTGATTGCATAAATGTTGACAAATGTAAAGTAAAATGTAAATACTCAAGTGATACTCCTTCACTCAGACCTTTTAGAAATTGTAAACCATCTTTCTTCTTCAGTTCCCCAGAGGCTTCCAGAGAGGGACAGTGGCCCCGTTCCCACCAACCAGCTTGCGTGAGCAGTGTGCGGGGGCCAGCGTGGCGGTGGCCGGGGAGTACATGCGCAGGGTGCGGGAGGTGGAGGGCCAGCTGCGCAGGCAGGCCGGCAGGGGGACGCAGGAGGGCCTCAGGCTGGAGAGGGAGAGGGGGCACCTGGAAAGGATGCTGCGCAGCCTCAGGGCCGATCTGACTGTCAACAGGAGGAGCTCAGAGGGGAGGACCAGAAGGCCGTCCACTGCTGAGACTGTGAGTTTACTCTCTCTCCTGCACTGTGGGTGTTTCTCAATCGCGAGTAAAGCTGCTTCAGAGCCACTATTTCAAGCATACTACGTCATCGAGTGCCGCCGAAGTACTGTTCCAATCTCCAGCATACTTGGACATCTACCGAGCCCGGCGTACTCCGTTTGGAGAAATATCGAGGCTGCACATGAGTAGAATCCGCGGTCTTAAAATCCCCACAATACTTTGCGCACGGACCAATTTCCCCAAATCTGTGGCGGAAGATGTAAGGCGGGGCCTCTCATATGACGCACACCTGCACACTTGCTAGCCTGTTCCACACTTCGTTTTCCGAATGCCAGGAAGTATTCTTGACTCGCTTCTGAAGCAAGATGCTCGGCAGACATGTGCTACCAAGCAAGCGTACTCGCGATTGAGAAACACCCTGTGTTTTTGTTCTTGAGGCCATAGATTCAGTCATACCCAGATAATCTGCGAGGAAATCACTAAATCAACAATCCCTTCAGGGCTGCTGTTATGTTTTGTTCAGACCTTCCTGTTGAAGCAGAGTTTCTGCTTAGGGGTCAGCAGGGGTAATTCACTCAGGTGCAGACTCAATTTGCACTTCAATATTTTGATTTTTGGTCTAAACCACCTTTAGATTAGGATGTTTATTGAGTTTCTCTGAGGACTAACAGATCATTTTGGTTTGGTTTATTTGCTGCACAGGAAGTGTTAAGTGGATTTCACCAACAGAAACATGCACATAATAGTTCTGAAACAAGATGTTTAAATCCCACGCACCTATTCACTTTACACTTATCCTATTAACACATTAAGTACCGCTCGTATACAACAATTAAAAACCCTAATGTCAACAAAATATGGCACATTCTCAAACGTGTTGCAAGTGATCCCCCAGACTACGTATTAACTCATTACGTTTTATTGCAACCTTAAAGAGAGGAGATGTGTTGTGTGACCGGCCTGCTCTGTTGCAGGAGAGAGACGGTGCTGATTACTTGTTGTTGTGTGAGAGAAGAGAGCTGGCCCAGCTGAAACAGGATCTGGAGGCAGCGCTGAGAGACACACTGACCCAGCTTCAGGTGATTTACAATGTCACTGTTCTGTCTTCATTGGTTGACTCGTTTTCCTTTCCACCCCCCAACACACACTCTGTCTGTCTTTCTTTCTTTTCTACTTGCCCTTCCATGTGATTTACTGGCACGAGTGGAGGAAGAAAGACAACACTGCCAAAGCCTTCATGCACCAATCATTTTGAACAGAGATCAAATGATACAAATGCACAGTCAAATCACATATGCATTACTTTAAATTATGCATACTTCCCAAGACCTCATGATCCTTTTGTTAAGAAAATAAAAGTTGTATGTATGTATTTTCTACTCGGAAGCCAAACCCTTCTTTAGTTTGACATGTAGAGAAATCATAATGGATTAATTACCGGTAATCACACAAATCAACTGACTTGAAAATCAGCTTCTCTAATGGTTTCCCACTGGTATATCACAGTTTAGGACCTTCATCGAAATCCTACAATCATATTTTCACATTTGTTCTAGAGCTAAAACTATTAGTTTAATAATTTATAGCCAATAAACAGAAACATGTGTCTTCAACTATTGTGATGACTGATTAATCATTTCAGTAACCTTTTGAAGCAAAACACAGAAAAAAAAGATTGTTTGAGTCTTTTTTTGGTTGTAGACAAGACATATGGAGATGTCCCATTTGGCTTTAAGGAAATTGTGGTGGACATAATCAGCAGATATATACAGTAAGTGATGGTATAAACTGTTGGTGGCAGACGTGATGTGTCCTTATAATGTCCCCCTGTGTCTCTTCCAGGCCCTGGGTCAGAGCGGCAGGCGGGTGCTGGACTGTGCCAGTGAGAGGTCTCGTGTCCTGGAGCTGCTGCCTCTCAGCCGCTCTGCTGGACACGGCAGCGCTGCTCAGATGTTCAACAAAACAGACCCCCTCGGCCCCTTTACACCAGGTACTCTCAGGACGAAACTGTTACCTTAATTTTATTCAATGAATTGCTTGTGTAATTTTAGTAGCTATACATTATAATGTTTACAACGCACAGGTTACTACTTTATACAAATATACATTGTATCTCCAACATAGAATTCATACTTACATACTCTCATCACTAACCTTCACTACCCTTAACAAGATCAGATAAGGAAGTAAGATTTCAGTAGCACATTTTTAAAACAAAGTTGAAAAAAGAAAAACATACAGTTATACAACAAGATCATAAGGAAGTAAGATTTAAGTAGCACATTTACAAAACAAAGTTGAAGAAAAAAAAAAACATACCTACACAGTTATACACACATACAAATACAGAAGATACATTTCTGATTTGTTTTGCAGAATGTAAACTGGTCTTACAGTCGTCAACTTTGACAGTCAACCAGTCACAGCTACTGAGGGAAAAGATCAGAAAGATGCTCAGCAGCGCCATCACCAGGCAGAAAGCTGTTCACCGCACCGTCAATGATGGCCTGGTGAAGAAAGTTGCAGAGACAATCAGTCTAGAGGTAAATACAAATACAGCATGCTAGACATCTTTGCATGCAATACACACATGACTTGATGTCATTGATTGTCATTTCGTTTTGTGTTTCGCAGCAAAACCTGACTTTGATGCATGCAGCCACCAGGCAGGCCGTGTTTCGAAAGCAGAGGGAAATTAACTGTATCCGTCAGAGCTACGGCAGAGTGCAGGTTAGTGAGTGTTGATGTAGAACAGAGTTTTTATATTGTAGTTATTGGGAGTTAGAAGCAATGTGCACATGGTGATGTTTTCCCTGTGTTTTTCTGTGTACAGGGTCCAGAGTACAGCGGTGACATCCTGGCCAGAGAGAAACTCAACAGGCCTCTGGTGCAGGTTTATCAGAGACACCCAGGGACACAGTTACCTGAGGCTGCTCAACTCATACAGGTGTTTACTACTTCCAAAATATTTATCAATATATGTTCAAATACAATCACAAATGATGGTGACAGAAACCTCGCCACCTCCTTCTTAATCATACTTTATAAAAGGGTTCGGCTTAAGTAATGGCTTTGTTAAATCCTAAATCAAGTATCAATGCGTTATCGATTAGAGATACACCATTTCACATTATATTTAAGGAAATATCTTTGGGTTTTTGACAAGACATTTAAAGGCATCACTTTGAGAAAATAGGATGAACATTTTCCCCATTCTCTGTCATTTTATAGACTAAATTATGATTTGATTAAATAAGAACATGATCATCTTATTAAGCAATAATGAAAAGTATCATTCTTTGCAGCATTAGCTAAAAGACACGAAGAAAATTCATGAATTTCAGGGCAACTGCCAGGATAATGCTGGTCAGACACTGACTTTGAGTCATAAAGACCTGCAACAGGTTTCGTGGTTTAGGTGATAAAATATTCAATAACAATCAATATTCATAAGTTCAGCTTCAGTTGATTTTTTCATTTAAAGATGTTTGAAGTTTCATAAAGTATTTTGTATTTAGTCATTACAACGCGTTGTTGGTTGCAAATATAAACCTTTCTGAGGTCAAATTAAATGTTAACTTGCATCTGGCGTCTGCAGAAATCTATCTGTACGACTAGCCTCAACCAAAACCAAACCAGGACTTGCCCTATAATTCTGCCTCAACACATTATTATTAGATATAAGGCTAACCAACAAATAACCACTGACCTGACTACATGCAATAACAGCAAACAAGTTAGAAATTGTCTTCCATATGAGATAGTAGGAGCTCCTCTCCTCATGTGTGAGAAAACCAATATGCTGCCAGATGTTCACACCATATTAACAAAAAGCATTCACTGGTGTAACACTCACCTCCCCTTTTGTTGCCTGCTGCTGACTATAACAAACCCAACTAAATGTGCTTCCTGTGTGTCTCTCAGGGCAGTGCGGTGCTGAGGAGATGTCTGCAGTCCTCTGAGAGGGAGCTGGCCCGGCTGCAGCACTCCTGTCTGCAGCTGCTGGACGACCAGCACGGCAAGAGAGCCGCAGCTCAGGTGGACGCAGCCGTCATCCGCATGAGGCGACAGCAGGTCGACAAGCGAGCCATGCCCTCTGCCCTCCAGCAGGGGGCGTGCAGAAAGCAACTTCCTATGTTTCAGTAGGGCTGCAGCAGACAGAGAGGTGATGCTTGTAGTGTGTTAGAAATAGGAAGCAAGCAACCATTGTGAAAAATGTTATAGCATGGGCAACACGTTGGGACACACATGGGATGGAAGTGTATGAACACTGTCACATAGTCTTGTATAATTTTGTTTAATTTTCTTGGCGCAACAATGTTAAACAACTGAAATTTGATTAAAATTCAAAAAAGGGTTACAAGAAACAAAACAATGTGTGAGACTATTTTGTTGACAATGATACCATATGCAACTGAAGAAAGCCAAGCCAAATGCAGTAAAGTGTTATAAAATCACTTCTCACAATAATGCAGGGCATAGAAAAACAAGGATTGCCTTTTGCCCGGGGCAAGTAAGATGCCAAATCAGGCCGGTAAATCCCAAAACTCACTTTCCCAATTGTTGATGTTGGAGGTAATGAAGGTGTGGACCATCTTGCTACCTTTTCATCTCTGTTGAGATGCGCAGTACAAATCGAGTGGAGGTTAAAGACAAATACTACCAAACTATTTAGTATGCATTCTGCAGTAAGCTAGCCAGCATGCTTTGATGACCCAAAATCCTTTGCACAGCTGATATGAGACCAAAAGGGTCAATGCGCAAATCTTATAAACAAACTGTGTGTCTCGATACCATGCATACTAAATACAACAGTATGCACCTTGTTAGGGCAGCTGCATTCATGCTGAACGTTAATTCACTTTTGTTATCAATGTAATAGTTTAGTTGGATGGTGGTAGAAGATTTCTAGTAAAAAAAACACATTGATGTTCAACCCAGTGGTGTGGCCGACATGATTTTAATGTTCCTGATGTAGCAGACTCCAGCCAGCTGTTAAAAGAATGCCACCATTTTATTTGCGGTAACAAGTTTATCTAATTCTGTTATCTTTACTACAATAAAAAAACCATGATAGGAACAATGGCCATATACACACAGCTGCAAGTATCCAAACCGGAGATATTTGAGTAGTATCTAATATGATTATCTTATCTAACTTGATTATGTGGCTTAATGTTCTCACTCTTAATTATTATAATAAACTATTATAGTTTATTTAAAGATAGAAACTGACAAACTGTGTTTTGTGAACAAAAACACCTTTAAGGACTGAATTAATAATATTTTCTATAAAGTTAAACAGCTGTTGCTGCCTGCTGCTCAGATTTGCAGTCATGGGACTGGAGGTCACTTGACAGCCTGCCCACCAAACTCAACGTCTTTCATTAAGAAATAAGACATGATTTAATAAACCTGCCCCGTTTTACCTTAGAACACATGTCTTGTCATCCTGTAAAAAAACAAGACGAGTGGAGATTGTGTACAGTTTTCAACCTGAACAAGACTGAGTTTCCTCACAAAGCCCTATTGATTCTGTTCAATCTGAATGGGGCTATTCTCTGCACCACTGTGAAAGCATGGCTGTCACCGAGAAGCTAACAGCCTAATTAAATCATATGTATTGGGGTGTGGAGTTCTTGGAGTTAACAAACTGAATATCAGGAGAAGCAGGAAAACATTTACCCAGATCTGGACTGGAGGAGGAAGCTGAGGAAGCACGTATAAAGCTGATTGGAAACTGACTTTAAGTCGTAAAGACGTAGACTGCAACAGGTTTCTCGTGTTCAGGGGGCAGACTGCTGGTTTGTTGTAGAAAATAAAAAGAAAGAGACAACGATAAGAGCTGAAGCATCAAGCTGCCAGCACATTTTCTTCCTGTGAGACAGAAACAGTCAGTGATGTCGAAGCTGATTTGCTCTCTGCTTCTCCTTTGCTCTCTTCCAGCAGTGGGTAAGTGAACAACATAGTGTGTTGTTTGCATGTGTGCATGAATGCAAAATATGTGATTTTTGCAACCGAATTACCTGCATGCAAATAACGACTGATTAATCTGTTAAATATTGTTTAAATTGTCTATGGTCTAACATGTTATATAAAAGTGCATCACAGTTTCTTAGGACCAAAGGTGATATCTTCAAATTCGTTGTTTTTACCGGACTAACAGTAAAAAACTCAAAGATATTCAACTTACTGTAATATATGACAAGGAAAACTGGCAAATCCTAACATTTGAGAAGCTGAACAAGCAAATGTTTGGCATGTTGGCTTATAAAGGACAACACTTTATTAATTATCAAAACAGGGGCAGTTGGTCAACAAATTGTTTCCACTTAAGCTAATATACATCTTTATTGTTAAATACATTTCAGCTTATTTATTATTTGATTTACTTTCGAAATGACCATTGCAAAAGTAATAACCACTATTTCTAATGATATAATAATACTTTTGGTCTCATCAATTGCAAAATGTTGACACTTGAGGATTTCAATTCATAGCTATGGGTCGTGCAGTTTGTCAATGTCAGCATGTGTTGCTCATAATCATGGTGTACCTGCAGCTCGCATGCAAATCTAAGCTCTATATAGACATTTTGTGGTTTTAAACATGTCTGTCCTTTCAGTTCCCCTCTTCTGTTACACCTGTGTGTTTCCCGCCATCTCACCTCTGGACTGCATCAGATTTCCTCTCAAGTGTCCGCCCGAACAGGTCTGCCTATCCAGCAGAGCTGTGGGTGAGAAAGGTGAGGAGTCGCCTCAAGTCACTAAACATTATTTAAATTATTCAAAACTGAGAACAAGAACTGAGAAAGGCACCACAGAGGGATATGTGTCTGTGTAGTTTATTTTGAACTCGTGATTTTCAGGAGACTTCCTTGTGGTGTTGTATGAGAAGAGCTGTGTCCTGCCCTCCCTGTGTGGAGCCAAGGGAGAGAAACACACCATGGGACTCAACTTCACCTTCACCAATGAATGCTGCAACACACACCTGTGCAACGGAGCCGAGGCACCTGTGACCCGCTCCTGGACTGGCACAATACTCACACTTCTCATTTCATACTCAGTTTGGTGAATAGAAAAACATGTGGCAGAGAACTAGCTTAACACACATGAAGCGGCGTTGCCTTTTTCTGAAGGGACCCCTTTTGAGTAAAAAGAATGACTCCTGACACATGTTAAGTGATGTATTATATTGATATTTCATATTGTAATCAATACATAATAACACACAATAACAGTGCAGAACAACTGTATAGTCAAACCAAAGTATGAATGCAATAACTGCAGAAAATGTGTAAAATATTACATTTTAACAGATTATTTCCTGTGAATGTTTCATCAGATATGAGTTTTCCTGTTATTTTAAAAGGAACTTATAATCTTATTCTTCTATTTTATTTAACAATCAAATAAACTTAAACGTTGCAAGAACTTGCTGACGCCCAGGTTGTAACCCCCTGCTCTAAAGGACTGTCATTGAACACAACTAACTTTGAATAAATATGCACTAATCTTAACCGAGGTATGCCTGTGAAATGAAAAACACAATTATGTTTGTCTTATTATTGCTAACTCAAGACGTACCTTTTAGGTTAGCGAGTTGTTTCTGGACACAATAGCTGGGATAAGTTTAACGTGTTTAACTTCCCATGTTTTAATATGTTCAGATTGTGATAAAACAGAGAGTTTTGCAATTTGTGTGTAAATATGTACTCTTTGTATTAGATTCTCCACTAAATGGGGAAGACATTTCATCAAAAAGGCCACACATACAGTGGTAGCATTAGCACAATTCAGAGTAAAGAAACATAATTGCTCTAAAACATGGTATTAAATGATTTTAACAAAAATAAATGATTGAATAATAATTATTATTTGGATCCAATGTTTTATTCATTCAGGTAAAATCCTGTTTAATTTGCATGTTGAAAAACTGTTTCTCATAACAGATATTGTATTCGTCCTAACAGGTAAAACCCCCACAGGTGTTACCAATGTCACTAATTACAGGTCTTTTCCCTTAAAAGTCCCCTCGAGCTCACCGGAAATTGGCTCCCCAAAAAGGAAAAGGCGCCATCTTTGATGTTATTATTAGTTCCACTTGTGCAAATCGTGACATGACATGTTGAAAACAGGGTCTATACCAAAAATCAACGCATTTCAGTGATAATACTCGATAGTTAAAGGTGAAGTTTAATTCTAAAAATAAAACCTAGAACTCCCGGGCATGGTGTACCTATCCCTGTGGTTCATGCTGCCCCTGTTGTCCACCATTTATGGAGGAACACTACCGGGGTTTGAAGCTCTAACACAGCCGACCCAGGTGATGAGGTCGCGGAGATCGCCTATGCCGCAGCCATACCTCCACCTCCCCGTGTTTGTGGACTCCAGGTTCCCGCTGGTGGAGAAGGAGCAGTTTACTCCATCCAGAGGCACCGGACAGGAGCCTCTACCCGAGCACGTCCGGGAAGTCCTGTTCCCGGCTCGGACTAACACCAGCGCGCCCGGTGTTTCGGATGATTCCGTGAGGACTTCGTGCATGAGCAACAAGATGCTGGTGCAGGTGCAGAGGAGCATTCTGGGCACCGGTGAACCGTACTCTCGTCTCAAACTGGGGTCATGCCGAATCAGCAAAACTACAGAGAATTACTTTTATTTTAAATATGATCTAGGCATGTGTGGAACCAAACGCACGGTAAGACTTTACAATACTTAGTTTTTAAACCAGTTTTAGCCAAGTAAGCTGCGTGGCACTAGGCCTACCCAGGAATCTCGGCCTGTTAGTGGGTCCATAGTTTCGTAACATTTATTTGATGCATTGGTACTTATCAGAGGTTTGAAGTAACTAAACAGATTAATTATCAAGTAGGCCTACTGTACTTAAGTTTTATTCCGAGATACTTGTACTTCAAGTTTTTGCTACTTTGTACTTCTGCTCTCCTACAATTCAGAGGTAAATCGTGTACTTTACTCCACTACATGTATTCAATAAACCAAGTGTATTTGCAGATTTTGATTAATGCAGTATAATCTGCAGTAGCCTATACAAATTAATTAAAACTAGCTGCACCTTTACCAGCGTTGATAACACTTTAATATGAAAACATATGATATAATTATTAATGAGTAGTTTCACTTTTAGTACTTCAAGTATATTTTGATGCCAATACTTTTCTACTTTTTATTTATAACATTTTGAATGCATGACATTTACTTGTAAAGGAGTATTCCTACACTCTGGTGCTTCTACTTTTACTTGAGTAATACAGTATGATTGGTGCCAAATCTGCATTCATGCTTACCAAAGGATGAATCTTACTGAATTAGGTTATTCTGACTTTTCCTGTAGTCCCACACCTCTGCAATAAATACATAAATTAATCGTTTTTCAATCGAATGTGTTGAAGAAAACTGTTCACGTTTCTCAAATGTGTTTTTGCCTCTTTTCTTTGTCTTTTGTTATTGTTGATTGAGTTTTATGTTGGTCATGCAAAACCAGACACTTAATGAAGTCAGCTGAGGCCCTTTATAACTATAGCCTAAGCCTACTTTGATGACGATTCTTCACTTTTTTGTAATGTATATCCAGCAATTAGTTGATAAATAAATCATTCTTAGTTGCAGCCCAAATCTTGACAACCATCTAGGATAGTCATGCAATTCATACATCGTCATAAGGTAAAGTCTTACATTTTGATCTGTACCATCCAGATATAACATCACTTGTTTATTTGAAAATGTAAGCATGCTAACTGCATGCTAAACTAAGACAATGAGCATGTTTAAAGGATACATGCTAATCATTTGCTTGTTAGAATAATCTTAGCCAGTATGATGGCATGTTGATCTTAGCATTTAGCTCTAAGGTTAGCTGTACCCTGCTAACTATGGTCTCACAGAGCTGCGAGCAAAGCTGTGGACACTTTAGTCTTGTTTAAGGAAGATTGATAATCAAGCTGGTTTGTTTCTTTGCAGATCATTAATAATCAGATGACCTATTCAAACACACTACAATATACATCACCACAGCTCCAAGGACCAATCAGAAGAGCTGTTTCCTTCATCCTGCCTGTTGCATGCTTTTATAACAGGTATGTGGACTGGATCCACACTAGAAATAATGTTTTTTTAACCCATTTAACTTAAAGATCATATAGAAACACTTGTTTATTAATCCTAACCATGTTTTAAATGTTTAGGTACCAATACTCCTACAAAATTGGCTACACACCCGTGATTCAACCACGCAAGATCTTCAAACCAATGAAGAATAGAGTGAAATTCCTTCTGACGCCACGAAATGGTAAACCAGCAAACATGTCTTAATGTCAACTGATATCTATGAGCTTGCAATTTAGTTTGCGAAAAATAAGAGATTTTATTTAGAATATTTGGAAAAAAGGATTGATGGACCTTGACATGCTTATATACAAGAGTGTTACAGTCACACTATGGAGAATACCGGTTCAAAGCAGTATTCAATGTTTAGTTCAGATTAGCTAAGGCCTGCGTAAGCAATAAACATGACAGTCCTATGTCTATCTCCATAGAGGCTGAATCATCATGTTAATCGTTGTCACATAGCCATCATATTCCTAAAACAGTCCTGACGCTCTTCTAGGTCATCATACATCCTGTTACGTACACAGCTACAGTTGGGCCTTTGTTATCATGTGCTACTCTGATATTAGAAGAATACATTCAGTATTTTCCCAACAATGGCCTCTGCCCTTTTTTTAATAGACTCACACAGAAAAGAACAATGGAGCATTTTGATTAATTATTGGGTTTTTCTATCCACAAAACCAATGTGCAAACGCCAAAATGTGCTACATCAAACAATATGGCAGACTGGGATTAAATACAAATGTGTCGTGTCATGCATCTCAGTCTTTACATTTAATTAAATATATTTTTTTACTGCATAAATGAGGATGCATTTGGAATCTGCTGCTGTTGTTGTTGTTGCCTGACTGCTTCCTTCTTTTATTTAGCTCAGTGGAAAAGGCTTTCTCCGTCAGATCACTACGTGCTTGGGCGACCCATGTATTTTGAGGCAGAAGTTCCGTCCATGTCAGAAGACCAAAGACTGTACGTCCACTTATGTTACGCGACTCCAGAGAGGTCCCACAACTCCACGCCTCAGTTTCTAGTCGTGGCCAACTATGGGTAAAAAAAACACCTCACGCCAACACAAAATAAAGACTTTGAGAATATTGGTCACAAAAAAACATCTCTATAGAAAAAATAGGCATAAGTAATAGACAGGCTTTCTCTCCTTCGGAAGGTGTATGGTTGAAAGCAAGGACAGTCGCTCCAGATTCATCCTATACAAAAGAAATGCTGTGAGATTCTCTGTGGATGCCTTCTTGTTCGCAGGCATGACAGGCCAGGTGAGCAAGAATTCTTTAAGTTTAAGCAAAATTGTCTGTTTTTGTTCGAGTACCATGCCACTAAAAGAGCATTTGATGTGTAATTTGTTTGATTTTATCTCCTGTAGCAGCTCTACATGCACTGCTCCATGTCTGTAAGCAGCTCTGTCCCCACACCCAGAGCTAAGTCCTGCAACTACGACACAAAAGAAAGAAGGTTAGTTTGTTCTGCCACTAGAGGTCAAAAACTATAACAAAAGCAGAGTTTGGGGGTGTCCATTGCCATTATTGTAGGCCGTTTCTCCCAATTAGGATTCCTTCATTGTTCATGGGCTTTTTATCATGAGCTGAATAATGCATAGGTCTCTTCCTCTCCAAAGTACAAACAGGCATGGTAATTAAAACAGGTTAAAGTCTTTTTCTGTTGCTCATTGGCTGCTGCTGTTAATGTTTGCTCAGCTTGTTTCTCTGATTGCTCCAGATTTTCATCCACTTAACGCATATAGTTTAAAAGACTAAGTTCTGAAGTGTCGTTAAACTGGATAAAATGCAAATTTATGACAGCTCTTAGAAAACAGTGGACGCGTGCTGACAGGAGGATATGGCACTATTACAACTGTTCAAATGAAATGAAGGGTTACCTTTATTGAAATGACAGATTTCTGGTTCAAAAATGGTTTAAAACCTGTGATTATGCAACTACACAACTAGGCTAACATATATAGCCTGTGTCTCTTCATTTCAGATATTTTGATGTTGTAATGTGGCATATGACAGAAATAAATAAAAGGTCAAAATATGCTGTAAAAAACACAAAAGGATCATCTCTTCATCACTGTTGTTGTTTTTCTCCTCAGATGGGTTGAGCTGTATGGACCTGACTCTGTGTGCACCTGCTGCGACTCCAACTGTAGCTCTGCTGCATCCACAGGTCGGTCATTGCTTCACTCATTTCCAAAATAAAACACATTCTGCTTACCGTTCATGTATTCAAAATACATTCTCAATGTCAACAAATAAAGAAATCAAGATTAAAAGCAGAAGTGCCATAATCCTACCACAAGGATTGTATCAGTAGTCAAAGATATAGCGTATTACTCTGTGCCATAGAGCACACTTGTTGTTGTTTCAAAAATATTAGGAACACTTACAATCTTTTATTACCATGAACTCAAGCACTGCGGTTTTTCAAATACGCCATCATGGAGCAGTAAATAGCCACTAGTGTAAAAATAGGTATGATTTGCAGCTGTAACTAGTGTCCAGCAAATGCAACATTAACTCTGGTATGTGTTAATTATACATATTGAAACCATAGACTGTGTATATATAAACTGATTGAAACACACCAGCTTCTCCTTTGAAGACAATTGAGCCCTCCTTTTATTTTGTTTTTAATTATTCTGTAGGTCTTCCATTTTGTCTTTTTTGTAAAGCACCTTGTTCCCCTATTGTAATAATTTACTAAATGTTTACTATCATTACAGAGTTTAAATATAACTTTGCCACTGCAGGAACTTCCTTTTTTAAATTCAATATGTAGGTTTTTACTGCTACATGTAACTGGATGCATGCAGTTTTATTCTAAACCTATTTTTTATTTTGTAGTTCAACTGCCACCATGTGAATTGATTATATATTTTGGTTATTTCTAATGTATTTTCCGAACAAACTATACTCTTAAATCAAAAATTCTATATTTTCCAGTGACCAAAGTAATCAGCAGCAGGCCGTGGACAATAGATCCTAAAGGGAAACGCACCAAAGCCCTGAAGAGGAAGAAGGTCTCCACAGCAACAACGACAACGACAACAACAACAAAAGTGGCACCTCAGCCAGAGACGAAGAGCGAGGTGACTGAGTGGAGGAAATCTTCGCAGCCTGAAGAGAGAGAGGGTAAGGTGGAGGACTCTGGGGAGGAGTGGCCGATTGGAGGCAGAGGAATGACCTGGGATGAGATGGAAGGTGAGGAGGAGTTGGTGAAGGGCTCTGCTGTTGTGGAGAAGGAGGAGAAGGAGGAGAAGGAGGAGAAGGAGAAGGTCGCAGCAACTCGCACAATTTTTGAGGACATTTTTGATTTCGTCAAATAAAGCTGAAGTTTATCCAGTGATACATTCAGTCTGGGTGGCTCATTTCATGAATCCTTACAAGCTGAAAGCAATAATCCAGAAGTTAGATTTTTTTGGTGCCAATGTTGTCTTTTATATTATTTATTATTACTACTACGTGTTTGAGGCAGACGTTGTTAACACTAACTGTAAAACTGAATTGCATTTATTTATCACTTGCTAAATTCAGCATTTACCAATCGTCTCTTAAAACTAATAGTCAAACATATAAGTTGTATATTAAGCTGCAACCCTTATTTTTATCCTAGCATAAATCAGCATGTTATAGGGCTTTAAAAACAATACACAATGTGTTAAATTGATAAGCATAAGAAGTTAATTTTGACAGAATCAAGCTAGCAGTTTCCCACTTTTGTCAGTGTTTGTACTAAGCTGCTGGTTTTAGCTTATTGCCAAACGAGAGAAGAATCAGTCCTATGTCACAAAAGTGAAAAGGCGAATGTGCTAAAATGTTTTCTACTCTTAACAAAGTGCAAACACAAAGTGCAAGCACTATCTCCAGTGCCTGGACCTAGCTGTTGCCGACCACCTTGCCATACTCTTTACTGTTCCTGTCCCTCTGCTCACTCAGCGTGCCAAGCGCACCATCACATTCAGGAACACCAAAACACTGATCATTGTGGCTCCCAAGGCGCAGCTCCAGAAGGTTGGTGACCTGCTTCTCACCATTGACGGCTGCTCCATCTCCCCGTCCACTGAAGTCCGCAACCTGGGAGTCATCCTGGACTCCACCCTCTCTTTCCAGGCGCATATCAAATCCATTACCAAATCCGCCTTCTACCATCTCAAAAACATTGCCAGACTCCGCCCCTCACTCTCTGACTCTGTGGCAGAAACACTCATACACGCCTTCATCACATCCCGTCTGGACTACTGCAATGGAGTCCTGTCCGGGGCTGTCTTTTTGTATCTACTCGTTCGGGTTCCTCTTTCATGTGGTCTCGTCCAGGTGTGAAATGAATCATCCTCAGTAGTACGAGCTCAGGTGGGAGTGGGTGGCGGGATGTCTGGTCATGGCTGACCCAGGATAGATGGGGCTGTTTGGAGAGTTCCAGTACGGCGATGGAGCGCTGAAAAAGTTGCCTGGAGACACGGGCATTGGTGCAGGATGGCCACCCATGAAGTTCATTTTGGGCTGGTGGCTGTGGTAGGGCTGGGCGTAAGGCATCTCAGTCTGGTACTTAACAATCCCCCCCTCCGCTGAGTGATTCTGGTGCGCCTGCGAGATGCCTTGGAAGTCAAACTTGTATGCGTAGCGCTTGCCGTGCACCTTAGTCATGATGTTCTTGTCATAGTAGTAGCGCAGAGCGCGGCTCAGCTTGTCATAGTTCATGTTCGGCTTGCTCTTGCGCTCTCCCCAACGCTTGGCCACCTCGTCCGGGTCGGTCATCTTGAACTCGCAGTTGGTTCCCTCCCAGGTGATGATGCCGGAGTTGTCACTGTCGGACAGTCATCCTGGACTCCACCCTCTCTTTCCAGGCGCATATCAAATCCATTACCAAATCCGCCTTCTACCATCTCAAAAACATTGCCAGACTCCGCCCCTCACTCTCTGACTCTGTGGCAGAAACACTCATACACGCCTTCATCACATCCCGTCTGGACTACTGCAATGGAGTCCTGTCCGGGGTTCCCAGCAAAACCCTGGCCAGGCTCCAATATGTCCAGAACTCTGCCGCCAGGCTTCTCACCCGCACTAAGCCATGGCAACATATCACCCCCACCCTCATCCACCTCCACTGGCTGCCGGTCAAGTCCCGGATTCACTATAAAACACTCCTCCTCACGTACAAGTCCCTCCATACCCTCACCCCCCAATACTTAACAGACCTCCTACATCCCTACACCCCTTCTCGGAGTCTGCGGTCCTCCGAAACGGGCCTGCTCTCCATCCCCCGCTCTCGCCTTCGAACTGTGGGTGACAGGGCGTTCAGTGTTGCGGCCCCCACCCTCTGGAATGCACTTCCTCCTGAGATCCGGAACGCTGCCTCACTGGACATCTTCAAATCCTCACTAAAAACGCACCTGTTCACCATGGCCTTCGGACCCTAGTCCTTTCCTGGTCCCCTGGCTTCCTTTATTTTATTTTATTTTATTTTGTTCTTGTTTTGTTCGCTCCTCATTGTCTGTTTTGTTTTGTCTGTCCACCATGTACAGCGACCTTGGGTCCTGTGAAAGGCGCTTTATAAATTCCATTTATTATTATTATTATTATAGCAATTTTTCCATTACCAAAAAGACAAGTTCCGGTACAACATATGTATATAATAAAACCCAGGAGCCAATTTCCAGATACAAGCATCATTTATTAGCTTTACATCGTGAGTAAATGTTATATTGCTACTTAACCATCATTCTGTACAAATTCTTTTACAAATGTCAGATCATTGAATGGGATAGCGGCAGCTTCAACCTTTTTATAATTGAAAATACAGTTATGCCATTCACACACTAAATGCTATGACTTTACAAATTAAACAAGGTACTTACAAAATAAACTTGGCTTAATATCATTCGAATAACCGTTAATACAGTGTGTCATCAGTATATTCATTAAAAATCTTGGAACTTAAAAAAAATGTTCCCTTCCTCCGTTAATTAACCCTCATGTCTTGTCCACTTTAAAGAAGGAATGTGACAAAGATGACATCTTAATGTCCTTTATATAAACAGACCGTAGCGTCATTTCACCTTCATTTTCAGACAGGGTTCAGCTCAGGTGCATCCTGGATGGAGTTGCTGTCTTTTTGTATCTACTCGTTCGGGTTCCTCTTTCATGTGGTCTCGTCCAGGTGTGAAATGAATCATCCTCAGTAGTACGAGCTCAGGTGGGAGTGGGTGGCGGGATGTCTGGTCATGGCTGACCCAGGATAGATGGGGCTGTTTGGAGAGTTCCAGTACGGCGATGGAGCGCTGAAAAAGTTGCCTGGAGACACGGGCATTGGTGCAGGATGGCCACCCATGAAGTTCATTTTGGGCTGGTGGCTGTGGTAGGGCTGGGCGTAAGGCATCTCAGTCTGGTACTTAACAATCCCCCCCTCCGCTGAGTGATTCTGGTGCGCCTGCGAGATGCCTTGGAAGTCAAACTTGTATGCGTAGCGCTTGCCGTGCACCTTAGTCATGATGTTCTTGTCATAGTAGTAGCGCAGAGCGCGGCTCAGCTTGTCATAGTTCATGTTGGGCTTGCTCTTGCGCTCTCCCCAACGCTTGGCCACCTCGTCGGGGTCGGTCATCTTGAACTCGCCGTTGGTTCCCTCCCAGGTGATGATGCCGGAGTTGCCGCTGTCGGACAGCAGCTCCAGCAGGAACTGCCACAGCTGGATCTGCCCCGAACCTGGGAGGAGAAAGTGAGTTAAATAATGTATACTGACTTCATTGGATTGTCACACAAAGGCAGAACATGTGAACAATACCACTAGTAGATGTGTTAAATGTTTGTTTCTAAGTGATTGTTACTTAATATTGAAACATTTTTAAAGGATGTGTTCATCCCTGAGCAAATGGAAATCTATGACCACTAGTTCGCCTTAACGTTAGCAATACAGTTTCCAGGAAAGCAGGAAACAAACAAAACTCCACTTAATGCATCCAGTTATTCCAGGACCTCGGACAGCACCTCAGTTATATATTTTTTTCACAAAGAAATTTTGATTTTTGAGTGGACCGTTTTCTTTCCTACGACTACGATGACATCATATAGTCGGCTTATATTTGTATTCCACTAAATGTGACCTTTTCACTGCGTGGCTTGGAAAAAGGGACAGACATCGGGGCAGAAACCTACCCACAGGCCTGTGAGCGCTGGGGTCAGGGAGCTTGAACGGACTTTGTTTGCCTGTTCGGTTCTTGGACGAGCTGAGGGCTTGGCCTTCTGTGAGGAAACAGCAGGGCAAACAGTCATTTTGGTGAGAGGGAAGCCAGATTTTGTCTCAGTGTAAGCGTGATGCAATTCTGCTGAAACAACAGGTGTTGCTTGAAGTTTAAAATGCCCATTTGGGAAATTAAGTGCATGTGTGCCAGCCCTTGCTTGCTTTCTTCTCATGTTGCCAAAGCATACAGTGTAAAGGCCTCATTTGTGTAATTCTCGTTAGTTTGATCTTTTGGTGCTTTAGATTCTTACCTGGGTTGGCTAGTCGACTGCTGATGGGCCCTAATGTCTGATATGGGTCTGGAAAGGAAAAAAGGCATTTTTATTTCAACATCTTTAAAGCCCCTTTGGATGGAGGGAAATATTAAAAACATAGCTTACATATAAAAAAAAAAAAGGACATGTACTCCTTTTCAGATTTAAACTCGTACTTTGGGTTTCAGCTTGAACATGTTTACATGCTAAACTTTGATGTTGAACATAATACCTGCTTAATTATGGAAAGCATTGTGTTTGCATAGAAGCAGACTCGCAGAGCAGCAAAACATCGTGTCATCTCCAATCTTTGGAAACATTGGGAGCTTGACTGAACTAGCTTTATGTGATTTCCAATATCTGCTTAAAGATAATTAAATACAAATGTGGCCTACATACCTTGGACAATTCTTGGAGCGGGCTCTGTAACTCTTGAGCTGTGTTGGTGCTCCATGGAGGGACCTACAAGTAACAATACAAGTATTGATGTGAAATGCTTTGATACTCAGTTGTGGCCTAGTTTTTATTGTTAAACCTCCATGTGAAATCAGTAGTTCATGCATGAAAACACTTATCATGATCATTAGTTTCATATCATGCCTGAGTTTTGTTGTCTTACCTTTTGGCACTGCGCTCATGTTGTTTGCCGGCCAACTGCCCCTGCAGCTGATCTCATCAAAACCGCTCTCTGCACACACACACAAACACAACAGTGATGAGACCAGACTTTGGCTGGCACGTGGCGTAAAATTGGCTTTGAAGTGGACAGTGGGATGGCTCAGCTATAGTAGGAAGGACGTGGGTAAATGAAGACCAAGACAATAAGAGCTTGGAGATCTGAAGATGACCCCAAAAGTTTCTTTTGTTTGGGCCACCCCTGTCGCCACAAGATTGTGAATTGTGTCCCAGGAGCAGGACCCATACCCCCCATTTCCTGCGCCTGTGCAGCTGTTTCCTGTCTGAAACTGGCTGTTGAGTTTTGGACTCATCAAAGTTTTGTCAACTGAGGCCAGTGTTGTGCCAAATAACTATTTTGACTCGTGAAACTATGTAACCCGGTTCTGAAACTCGACACATTATTTTTAAATCCCTTAATCTTTCAAGTGTCATTCAAATCAACTCTTGCTTTGTGAGTGGTTTGAGAATGTGAGCCTGAAGTCTCACACCCAGAAACACTCAAACGGATCTCAACAGTGTGACTAACGGGGAAAATAAAAACATTAAATACAACAATTAAGTTACTTTCAGATTTGAAGGAAATATTTGTTATGTATTAAAATCATGCAGGTAGTCTTTTAGTCATACTGGAGTTGAAAGGGACTTCTCGTAACTGCTTGATGTTTAAATAGAAATGGTTTGCTGATAATCCTTTTATAAATCATAAAGATATTAACAAAACATAATCTGCTTCATAATAACGATCAGATTTGAAGCACTACACAAGCAGAGAAGCCAAAACTATTTGAATTGGAGCGTGGATGATCTCACCTGCTTTCACCTGTAGTCTGGGTTGTTGGGGCGGTGTGGTGTTGGTCGGAGTTGTGGAGTAAGAGAACGTAGGGCTACCTGAAGTAAAAAAGTAAATGTTAATTAAATGGATATACACCTGAAATCAATCATGCCATAACAGAATTTGTCAGGATTAGTATTTTGAAAGTAAAGATAGCCGTCAAAGGCTTTGAAAGACAGGAGAGCTGTTGATTGGACTTTTGTGTTGCTGTAGTACTGCATTGTGTTATGTTATAAAATGTTGCTGTTATTTCGTCCACCCCTTGTATATCGTAACGTTACTTTGAAAATTGGACTAGAACATGGTGCCGCCTTTAGCTGCATTTGTGACACTGATTTGCAGAAGCAAAAATGCTGCAAAATGATGTAATGTATCAGAAAACATGATGACATATTGTATGCAAAACACAGGAAGCGTGTGTTAGCAAAGAGGAAGAGGTCACAACACTTCCTGAAGACAAAATTCAGTAAACATTATGACAAACGTTACAGTCCAAAACATTGAACTGTACAAAGATAAAAGTGGCAAATCCTAAAAGGCAAATATTTCATTTTTTCAGTAGTATGTTAATTGTCAATCAGTGCTTCATGTCTTTACCTGAATTTATTTCTGATCCTGCTTACATGTGTGTAAAATATGTGACAATAGAACAATGAAAACCCTTCGTACATTGTTGAGTCAGACGAGGAGAACAGAACAATGTTATCAGCTAAAGGGAGAGGGCGAGATCTTACTCTGCCGGAGGTAACTGAGGTGTGAGAGCAGGATGTCTGCGTTGTAGGCCGACGTGAGACGCATCATGTCTTCCTTGGTCATCTTGCAAAGGGCCTTGCCGTCCAGCGCTTGGAAGAGCATAACGTCCACTTCCTCCAGGACGTACTCCTTGATGGCCCAGTCCAGCCACTGCCTCACGTGGTCCTGTGTCCAAACCTCTGGATCTGGCATCAGAAGCACACAATAATCAGAAAAGACTCCAGATAATGAGGTATAATAACGCCTCACAATGTTAGAAGACTTCTGTTTTTTAAAGGGGTTAATATTATTTTAGCTGGCTTAAAGTTTCAGCATACTGTCTGCAATTCTAAATTTAAGTAGATGACTCTGGTAGTTGTTGAAGGAAGAGGAGCCGTACAGAAAGTTTGCTTGGAAGTTGGAAATGGAATTTTATTTTATTTTTTATCATATATATATATTTATCTTTTTTTGATGCTCCAATGTGCTTTTTCAGTTTCAAGTGTGACTAAGCACTTCCATTTTAAACATGAATAATATTTAAACTCATGAATGTTTTTTCACAATAAGAGAGAAGAAGTAAATGTAATCATGAGACAGTTCTTTTTTCCTTCTTTTTTTTTTTAAATACAACTTTTTTTTAAAACGTCTTTGTTATTGAAAGGTTTGGGGACAAACCATATCAGGCACTTTCTTATAAGAGCTCAATTACTCAATCTGTAAAAATTGATGCATGTTTTGGCAAACTTTTTTTTGTGATCCATTCATATTTTTTTGTTTCAGAAAATGTCTTTCAGCTTTTGTTTTATTACATCTTTGTAAAATATCTTCAAGGGCCTTAATTAAAAAATGTTTAAATGTGTTTTAATGCAATGCCAAAAACAGATTGACACATACAATTTGAAGTTACATTTACTGTTAATAGTGTTTTTCTTATTTTGTATGTCTTGCCCGGCTCTCCATAGGCCACCGCTTCCGCCAACTATACCCCCTGAAGATAACAGGAAGTAAACAAATAAAAACGGTTAATGCTGAGCTGCACACAGCCCCTGAGTCTTCAGTAAAGATGCAAAAATATTGTTATTTGTGGTGGTTTTGACAACCCTGAGTGCTTATGTGAGCAAGGACTGGGGAATTTCAGATTTGTCGCTTTTCATAGCCATATTTGAATAAGAGTTGAACTCAATGTCTTGTTACAGCATTGTGATACTATTTATCAGATTCAGGACGGTAAGCTAATTTCCAGTAGCACACAATGACTGTAAATTGCCCGTAATATTAGGCAGGAGCCACCACACCCTCATGTCCTGATTGTCCTTGGTGAACACATGCCACTGTGATGCAACATCCGTGAATTATGAAGCAAAATATCCCGGTGCTGTTGACTCATTGAAGATTCTCTTCGGTTTTCAAAGAGCTGAGTTTTAAATTGTTCACTGCATGCCTCTGGAGCACGTCTGAGGTGGGATCCCTCCAGAGAGTCTGACTCACTGAAACGTACTGCTTTGATATGCTATAAAATGAGTCTCTAAGGACGATGGGATCCTAAAATATGCCGCCAGGTACATTTTTAGATGGCTAGACCAATGATTCATAGTGAGGATGAAATGGACTAAGCGCAAGTTGTCTAAATCCTAACTGAGACTACTCGGTTAGCAGTGACACACCACTGCCTTTACTCCAAGTTGTGTGTCAGTGATTTTATTCTGCAAAGAAAAAGGGAAGTCCACTGCTCACAGTTCAGCTGTAGAAAACTTTCTTCAGACCATCTATTTAAAAATAAGGTCTTTTAACTTCGACTGGTGTTATTTTATGTTTTGGGAGAAATGTTACCTTTAGAGACACATTCTTATTCAACTGAAGGATATTCTGTCTCCTGTGTTTTGATGGATACGGCTGATGTTATTCTACACTTTCCCCTATTGTCAACAGATCACATAAAGATGCATTACTGTCTCTAAGCTGGCTGACTTCCTGTGACACTCAGCCCCAAGCTCATTCATTCCTAATGAAGATGAGAATCTTTAGTTTCATGTTTTTAAACGGCTTCCTGAAAGAGATATGCACTGTAGTTTTAACAGTAACTAGGCCCTTTGTTTTGTTTAATGTATACCATGTTTATCTAGGCCCTTTTTGTTTTTTGTTTGATGTATATATGTCACACTGTAGGACTGCGGGAAACGATATTTCGATATTTCTGGATGTACAACATGTAGAATTCTTGACAATAAAGCTGACTTTGACTTTGAAACAGGAGTACAAGTAAATGTTTTGGACTATATTCAGCTGCGGATTAAAAGACATCAAGTATTTACAGCAATAGTACTGCTTGTACTAGGATTGGTGGGTTTTTCATGTATTTGGACAACAATTGAGCTCTATGTATCAGACCTTGGATACAGGTAATACTGTTTGGTTTAAGAATTTCTCTGGTTTTGGTCTTTTCATGGGATGAAAACAAGTGAGTATTGCTAGTTGGACTTTTCAGACTTTGAAGAGGATTTCCAAAAGCCAAAAAAAATGACTCAAAGTTCATCCCCTTCTTAAAACCAATTATATGTTTTCCAATGTAGCGCTATTGTTTATCTGTGCCACTGGAGAGTAGTGTAGTAGTTTGGCGGAAAACCCTTTGTTCATCTTTGATTGAGTCATTGATATTGCACAAGCTCCGTGTGTGACAGCTCTAGTGGTATTGGTCTTGTGAGGATGGAGGCTGATGGAGCTTAAGTGACTCACCTGCTGGCACGATGACCCTCTTCTCCTCTGTGGCGCTGCTGGGGGGGGTTGCCGTCTGTGGGCTCACGCGGGGCTCCGGATACGAGGCCTGGTACGGCATCGGGGCCCCGTCGTTGCTCATGTGTCTGGAGCGCTTGTTGACGACGCTGCAGTCCACAGGGGACTCACGGCTTAAACGGAAGGAAGAGAAAAGTTAATTTAAACCTTTCAATGTTATTTAGAGTCACAACACTCCCATTTATCCTCTCATATAACTTATTGAATCATTTCGTATGATGAGACATGTGTTATTGCTACTAATCTGAAAATAGATTTCACACTTTTTGTTGATACAAGGCTATTTCCTCTTGCTCTGTTTGCCAGTATCTGTAGCTGACAGAAAAAAGATTAAGTCTTAAAACTGTTTGAAATCAACACGTCATAAGTTGTTTTAAATATATACACCAAGTAACTTATGTTGATCCAACCTGTATGAACACTGAGTTTTTATTTTTCTACATAGCAGCAGTTGAAAGAAGTACTGTTTTACTTTGGTAAGAATACAAAAGTATAACGAGTAAAAATACTCATCATGCAGGAAGACGGCCCCTGTGACTGATATCATATACAGGTATGACATCATTTGAATAAATAGTCTCATAGCATTTTAATGTAAGTGCTCAAGGTGGAGTCATTTCTATCTACATTAACACTGATTATAATGTAGGCATTATCAGCCAAAACATTAAAAGTTAAATAACTAATAAGAGAAGAAACAACTTTATTAATTCTTTGAACCCTTTTTTTGTTAACAACTCAATCATCTGAAAAATGATATGGGACCACAATGAGACCCATTTTTTGTGAGGGGTCACACGAAAAAGGGTTAGGAACCGCTTGTCAAATTTTTAGCAATCTATGGTATTTTATGCTTACTCTGGAGAGATGCTGGTAACATCTAAATGTCACAAACAAGTTTTAACTAGCATAAAATTGAGATCTTAAAAGTACCAGTAGCTCAAAATGCATGCTTTTACTAGATTACTTTCCACCAACCGTTTCCGTAATGATTCTTTTAAAACACCCACATTTGACATTCAAACATAAGCACCATAAGTATGATGGATGTTTAAGGAAAACAAGACTCGTTGTTAAATTTGGTATAGAGAACAATAAACAAACAGTTTTAGGGTGTGGAAAAACCCAGATGCTGAAACGCACCGTGACAAACCTACAGTCACATATTTCGGGAACCTGGGCCCCCTGTGGCCTCGGCCCCTCTGACTCACCTGGTGCCATTGACGTGTTCGCCTCTTTTCCCAGGGTTCTGAGCTGCTGACCCCCCCCCACTCGGGCTCGGTGGGCTCGGGACTCTTGGAGGCCTGGCTGAACGCACCGGGCGATGTCATCTCGGCCTTCATGTGCACTGCGGTGTAGGGCGGCTCGAATATGGGCTGATCCTCACTCACCACTGATAGCGCTTCCTGTCAAACAGAGCAACACCGGTCACCGTCTGTCATTAATGTGCCGGGTCACAACCTGTGGAAAGTGAGATTTTCCATATACAGACTAAGCTAATGCTTCAGTGAACAGAAGTGAAGCTTCATCAGCCACTAGAGATATATCATTTATAGTAACGGCACAACCAATCAATAGAGAAGTTTTATAATAAAGTTGTTATTTACACTGGGGCCACAGACAGAACCACTTTAACTTTTGTAAGGCTCACTCTTAATGGAGAGGGAAACAAATATCCTAAATGTATATTGAAGGACAAACTGTTATCCCTTTTTGTTAGACGATTTGGTTCTGAGTCATTATAGTTAGGAGAGGATATAATAATGATATAAGGATAGAAGAATTCATTTCTCCATCTTGCTATATTTATTTTCATTCATGAAACATTGTAATTAAGTTGAACTACATAAAGATGACTTGCTGCCAGTTCTTGGGGATTTTAATGTGTTCTTTTTGTATTTTGTCCCCTATAATTGTCATTGTACACACTGACTTGTCAGCAGAGCTCTTAAATTGACTTGCTCTGAAGAACTTGAATAGTAGATTTTCAGAGTTTGGACCATTTCATGTTTACTCTTAAAGTGTGTAAAGATTCAAACTGGCAATCTTAAGATCTCTGCTTTCTTATCATACACCCAAAATACCTCTGCAACACAAACCCTGGCTTTGCTAAAGATTCAGTGGTGTGTTTAATCTAAACAACATTGGAGATACTTAGGAGGTTATCACACCATAGGAGTGAAATCAGAAGTAAACTGTTCAAGTAGTCAGGAGACTGTCTAATCTTTAACTTCAGTAACCACAGTTTTATTTTGTCGTTAGGATTGGGGTTACAGGGGAGGGAGGGGTGTTGGCTCAAGGTGGAGTTTAATCGAGATTTAAGTCGGTCTTCCTGTGTTTAGCACCTTCAGCGAGGCCTCAAAACCACCCCTGAGATGCCACTTTCATCCCACGCACAGGGGGGGGCAAAAACCGGACCTGTTGTTCTGTCTGCTGCTCACATTAAGTGTGTGCATGTGTGATGCAGTCTAAGTGGGTGCAAGTGCGTGTTTGTTTAGAGGAGTTGAGCATTGTCTTTGGACCTCGTACGTCAGTGCCGTGCTTTTTCAGTGGCCTACAGGAAACCTGGCCGCCATGTGCAGAGGAACCTTTTGGCACAGGCCAAGGGAGAGGAAATGGTAGAGGAGGGGGCACAGTGTAAAAATGTGGGTCATTTTAAAGCTGGAAAACAACCCCAAAGACCTGTGGTCACGGGAGGAGAGGGGGTTCATTGGACAGCAAGAAGACTGTAGCCCTGATTGAAGTGCCGCCTTTGCATTGTGTTTTTTCTTTTTGTTTGTTTTTTGCCTGTGTGTGTGTTTTTTTTTTAGCTCAATTGTTGCCTGAGCATTGTAAACCACATCTTAATACATGGCACACAGTTTGGCATTTCCTCGAAGCTGTAGACAAACTGATAGAGAAGTCAGCAGTGTGAGATCTCAGCACCCCACTGCTGAATTGAGTATTTGCTGCTGTGTAAATGATACGCCCTTTTTTATAGCAAGCACAAGTTGAAGATAGTTTAAAAATACATTGTTAAACTTTACATTGAACAAACATGAACTCCTATTAGTTCCTCAAGATTTAAGAGACAAATATTCTAAAAACATATTAAATGTTATGTTGTAAATGAAAGCATTTAACATTGCACAGATGGCCTTTTTTGATTAATAAATGTTTTCTTACTTGTTAAAGCTTGCGGCCTTCATTAGAGAATCACAGAACGTCGCCAAAACATGCACATATTGGGTGTGATGAGTTAGAAGTAGTTCATTTAGATGAAAGTGAGATGAGAAGACGCCTACAGAGGTGTGTGAGCGCACTTCTTTCTAACTCCACACCACGCATTTATTTTTTTACACGCACAGTCGCTGACTTAAGTGACATCACTTGAGGCAATTTATCAGACTTTGAGCAACAAAATATGCTTAGAACAATCTTTAACATATCCATTATCCCCCCACAGGACACAACATAGGCTACTGTATATATTAAATGGGCTGAATTCAGCTTTAAATGTTAGGCTTAGGGCTATAAATGAAGTTGATGTCAATATTTTAGATGCAAATTATTTTCCACGCTAACTAAATGCTAGAACGAATATATGTTAAATGCATTTTGTCATGTGACAGAAGTGTTTCACAGGACTTCATATTGTCCTGCTCAGCTTTCTTTTGACCGCACGCCCTGTTTTCTTCTCCTTCAGCTGATTGCTTTGTTTTACTTCTGGCATGTTGTTCTGTTTTCCCCGGCCTTCCTCTCACACTGGGTGGCTTCAGAGCCCCATTTCTCTGTGCAGAAGTGAAACAGTCGGCTGATAAAACAGACAACTGACAGCAGATTCTCATGCAAAGCCATGATGGACGGTTAATACTTTTAATAGTGATGGTTAAATGTATTATGTTTTACTTGTTTTTGGTACTCAACGCTCAAACTGTTGATATTATCGGAGGCAGCAACTTTTCAGTTCTGTACATTTAGTGACATGCTCATGCTTTCACAACCACAAACACACACACACACTCCCGCTCTTTCTTTATCTTCCCCTTGCGCTCGCTCCCTCTCTCTGCACACTGATACAAATATACCAAAATGTGGCCTGACCGCTAATGCCACAACTGACTTCCTGTTCAATGTGTTTCAGCTTGTTGCTCAGTGACACAAAACAACTTTTAAAAAACATGACCCTATAATGACGCTTTGCTTGTGCCTCGGTGTCCTAAAATGTTTTGTTCGGTGTGATAGTAAACACTTGAACACCTTTTGATTTGTTCTAAACATGAAATACTGCATGGAAACTTTTGACTTTAAGTCAGCAGCTCTGCGGGTTGCATCATGCAGTCTTGCCCAAACCAAGAGAGTGTGATGTTTACGAAATGGACGTTCATTCTTCTTAGATCTGTATTAAATAACTTTTTTGATTAACTGCAGAAAAAGGTAAATCCTTAGTATAATTCTGGCCTGACTTGTATTACTTGATTAACCCTAACAGCTCCAGCTCAAACTATAGGATTCTACCTATTTAAAGTATTTGTTCAGTGATATATCAAAAGGGATATTATAAGACACCAGGAATGAAATTATAAATAACTGACAGTCATGTAATGAATCAGACATGGAGGGGGGTTGTAGTGTTTTAAAGCTCAAAAGCTCCTAATTTGAATGCCATGGACTTTGATTTAATTAGATAACATTTGCTCAAAAACATTTTGAGATATGATGTTGTATTTGTAGGTAGAGCAGCAGCTTGAGTGACCTATTTTAGCCTATGGCTGTATCTGGTAAATGGGCTGCAACTATTTTCAGAATTGACTGACCTGCTTATTAATTACATAACATTTTTGTAAAAACAAGAAAGTGATTGAGTTTTCTACAATGTATGCACAAAAAATATAACTTTTTTTCTCATTTGATTAACTTGAACCTTAAATGTCTTGCTTTATGAATTTATAAATTGGCAACATACAAAACAGTTACAAATAAATATGCTGTCAATCACCTTATCAGATAAAATAATAGTTGTTAGCTCTAAATCCAGGTGCTCTCCACTGGTGAAAGGATAAATCTGAGGAAACACCAAATACTAGCAACGGAAAGCAGATAACAAAACCTTACTGCTGCACAGAATGTTTTTCTAGATAGCTATTTTACATTTGTCTTTCTAATCTTTCTCTTTTGTTCTTGTTACTTCATTTAAAATGTCCTATAGAGCTGTACAAAATATTGAAATAAAACAATTGGGAGAGTTCTTTGGTGTTTGGTCACAAGAACACACTTGCTTTGTTTAAAGGTGCTTCAAGTCAAAAAGGTTGGGAACTATTACATCAACTATGATTTGTATTTAGAGTCAGGTTTGGAAACACCAATTACTTTGATAGTTTAAGTGTTTAAAAGGTTGATTTGGTGCCATATGTTTGTGGCATTATCATCCCTCCTACATTTGAAGTGCACTGCAGCCTCATAATGCTGATTTCATCCATGCTATTTTGGTCCATCCTGTACAATTTCTTTTTGGATTAATGGATACTTCAATTTTTGGTGAAACAAGCACAGATATATTTTTTACTTTAGATTAACTGATCAGTAGGATCATTTACAGGCTTTATAATAATAACGTAATGATTCCTTGGTCTGTTCTTTCTTCCAGCCTTATTTTGTGTGTGCTTCTCGACATTAAAAACGTTTTTAAATGTCACTGAGCTCCTGTTAGCAAAATGGCTTCCAGATAGGATATTTTAATACATCTGTCAACTCCTCTCAAGGCTATGGGAGGATATAAAATGAAACGAAACTCTTTTAAAACAAGGTGTAGCCTTCAGTAACAGGCCAGAGATCAAGTTGTGCAAAGGCACAGCCCTCCGTGCTCGCCATGTCTGAGGCAAGTGGTAAAAAGCAGAAGTAAAAGCTAAGCTGATTCTGCAAAGGCCTGAGCAGCTGCACTTTGTGCTACAAAAACACGCTGCGGTTTCCACAGGTCGGGCCTGGCTGATCTCAGACCTGCAGGCCGCAGACAGCCTCCTGCACCTCCCAGACCCTCTGATGGGACAATGTGGAGTTTGGACAATGCAACGCCTTAGTTTGTCCACTTCGTTTCTTCCAGGAGAGGCTTTGTTGCCTTTTCACCATTTTTTTTTCTAGTTCACTGAGCGGAAATGTGTGCGGAAAGTCTGAGGTTTCTGACAGGAAGCCTGCTGAGTTCAGATAACGACACCTGACAAGTGCTCCCGTTTGCAGCAATAAATTATACCTAAAATAACCTCATACAAACAATCTGCTGCGACACAGAGGAGACTCATTATCTGAATGATTATGTTTTTAACTGATAATTCTGAATATGGTCCAGCATTTAAACAAACTAAAGCATTAAATAGATGCACTTTTAAAGGACTACATTAATTATTTAAGCTTTGGTAACAGGATGTCCTCCTTTTCCTGCAAAGGACCTTAAGTTGCTATTTTTCTATGAAGGAAAATAATGTACAAATAATGAACTTAACTAAGATGCTTTCATAGACATATTTTTTGGAAACTAAACAAGAGACAAGTATGCTACAATAATAGTTCCTCAAACCACTGAGAACTTTTGTAATGAAATGCATTTCCTCTTGTTACAATTGGCTGAATAAGACATTTATTTTTGGTTGACGTATCAAATGTTTCGTTATGGTAAGTCATGTAAAACCAATTATTTCACATTTTAAACATCGCATGGGATTTAGTAAACGGATTTAGTTAACATCTTTAAGATTCTCCCGAAGATTACAATTACATTTTAATGCAGCAATACATATAAAAGCCTTCAGGAAAATAGTGTATATTACACCCACATTCGATGAAGAAACATAAATAAGGCCATGTATTTAGGCAATTTGTGTCCGACACCATCAGATAAACATTTTAGCGTTTTCTTTCGTTGCGCAATGAAGAGTTTTCAGCGTTAACTTTATTAAAAAGCGCCTTTCGATTTGAGGTGCTGACACGAAGGCCTTTTTGCATTTAAGAGAGGATATGAAAATGAAACAATTACTGAGTTTTGTTTGTCCGGATAACTCAAACAGAAAATGTGAAATACCAGTCATCTGATGGAAATGAGTCCTCCTGCTCGGCTGAAAATGGGCGAAGTTGATCCATGGCGCCTTCAGGTACACCTGCCTTGTGCGCACAAATTAAATCCAGCATCCTTTCATTCACGAATTATTCGTTAAAGTTCGTAAACCTGCTAAATATTAAGTTATCTCTGCGTTATTTGTGTGTATGTGTTGAGGTTCCGTGGATAGTGAGCTCCCATGTAACACATCAATCAGAAGAAAAAAAAACTGAAACGATTTTGGAAATCCTCTTTTACGCGTGTAACCGGCCACCAATTAGTGTTTTTATCTGAGTGTAAAGATGTAGTGGTTAGTTGTGTTATTATAGAGCCGACATACAACCACGAACGGGAAGGAAGAGGAAATTTTGTACAAGAAGGAAAGAGTGGGGAGCTCGCATCACCGCTTTGACTCTCTCACTCAGCGGGCTGGTGGGTGGCTGTCATTTTCACCACAGCAGCAGCGTTAAAAACTATTAAACACGTACCTTTATCGTACAGTCCATTGCAGCAGCTTTGCAGTCTTTGTCATTTAGTCGTTTTTTTATAAATGGTGCAGATAATTAAGCCTTCTAACCTCACTTCAATGCATGCAGGGGTGCATTGGCTCTATGGCGCAAACCATTGCAGTTACAATTTTTTGCTCGCAGACCAAAACCGGATGACAAGTTCTCTCTCTCTTTCTCTCTCTCTCTCTTTTTTTTCTCTCTCTCTCTCTCTCTCTCTCTCTCTCTCTCTCTCTCTGTAAATTGGGAAGTGAAGTCACTGCTCTGAAACTACTTCTCATGAAACAACAGTCACTTACTGCTCAGAAGGGCAAAACAAAAGCTAGTTCGTGTGTGTTGCAGTAGATTAATGTGTGGACATTGGAAAACATGACATACTTAACATAATTTAAAACAACACTTGATTAGTGTTTTGCAATAGTTAAACAGCAGTGAAAGTAAAAGGTGCCACTGAATACTGAAAGCCTGTAAAAGTGTCAGAACAAAATAGTGTTGGTGTATTAAAATGAGAAAAAGATCTCTACAAGATGTGCACTTTTGGAGACATCATGCCATATAAATGCTTAAATAGCACATTAAACACCAGCGTATAATAATGTACAATAATCAATTCACTGGAATAGTTTATAAGATTGATACTAGTGCAGAGTCTAAAACAGGTGTAAGAACTGAAGTTTATGAAATTCCATATTTGTGTCAATGTTCATCCACTGGACATGGAGGTATTCATCCACTGTCACTAAATATCCATGGGATTTGTCTAACTCTAACTGCTGGAGCCCTATTTTAACTTCAGATTTTGAATATGTGCACAAACAGAGGCTGTCAATCATTATCATTGAAACGCATTACTGTGTATTTCTTAAAGGCCAGCATGGACAGGAGGAATAAATGCAGGAAGTAAATCCTGTTTCAATGCTTATGGTCACCTAACTGTTGTTTTGAGACGGACCTGATAACATTTTAGCCTAGCCTTAAACTTAATGAATGTTCTTGAAAATAACCAAATGTTAGGCAACTCCCTTCTTCAAAGATTACACTTTATTTATATTTTATCCAAAGCGTCTTCCAACAAATACAATCAACCAAGAGGATATCAATTCAGAATACAGGTACTTAAGCATCAAATTATTTAAGTTGTTAAAAACAGAAAGATCAGAACAGAAATAGAGCAATTCATTCCTTCCCGTCTATAGGATATAAAAAGTGCAAAAGCAACTAAGCAGTTTTTAATTACACTTCCTGTTTCATTGATTGAATAATTGTGAAGTAAGAGTCACTTTATACATTTTGAGGTGAAGACAATATTCTTGTTGAAGTTTTTAGTACAATTAAATACAGTTATCAAGACTACATTACTTTCAACATATGGGCAAAGACAGTGATGGAATATAATATAGTAAATGTACAGAAGTTAAGTACAAACTTTAGATACTGTTACAAAAGTATTTTCATGGTACTTTTTACTTACCACATTTCAGAGGAAAATACAGTATTTTACTTTTCACTACACATATCGGCAAATGTACTTTACAAACTAAACATATGAAGAGATATGATTATAGATAAGTCAACATTTCCAAACATTTGGAACTTTGGGGTTTTGTGATGGCATTTGTCATTATTTTAATACGTTTCACAAACTCATGGAACAATCACTGGAGGAATCATCAGATTAATCCATTCGTAAAATAAAAAATGCATGAGGAGCAATAATCCATCAAATAAATTGTATTGGCCTAATACTGTCACAGGGCTCGAGTACTTTTACCATTTTAAAATGACCTCATTTTGCTCAACTTACACAAAGGCCTACTTAGGTTTCTAATGCAGGAACATTGTGTGCTGACAATAAGGGAAGATGTAAGTGTTTTAATCGAGTTTTAGCATGAACAAAGACTTTATTTCACGAAAACATGTTTTCATGAAACGTCCAGTATACTCCAGTTACATTACATTACCACTTTTATTTTTCTTTAAATTTCCCACAGTTTGTTGATGTTTGTATTGCTCCGTGACCGTTTATTTTAACCCCCTGTTACCCCAGGTGGAGTCCTGATAGTTGACTGCAGACGGTTGTTAATCACCTCGTGTTGTGTAACCTTACCCCCGTTGTGTCCTTTTCTTGAGGAGGGGCTCCAATCACGACTCCCGTCTCCCACCGACGCGCACGATTTCACCCAGCTCCACTTTTCCAGATGCGTGTGTGTGCGCGCATTTGTCTGTGTGTGTGAGTTGTTTGTTTATACAAGGCCCTGGGGTCGGCCTTATCTGCTGCAGCCACTCACGCCGTGATTCAGACTTTCTTCAGCAAGTACTTGTGTTTTAAAAAAAAAAAATTACGGGCCATTGTTGTGTCGAATGGTTTCTAAAGATACAGAGATTTTTTCTTTCTTCCTCCCACCTAATTAGAAACCGACTGCTCTGATTTCAAAAGCCTGCACTTCATCCCCACCCAAACATTGGCTCAGTTATTGAGTCCCGCCTGTCAGACAATCAGAGAGCCATTCAGTGAGAGAATATAAAAATAACACTGTTGTTTTGGCTGCCAATTATTCCGCCATGTTTTCTTTATTCTTACATTTTTCTATGGATTTTTTTTAATGTAATCCTACAGACTTAATTAAGTGAACTTCCCCATGTGGGATTAATGACGTGGTTTCCTATTGTATGAGTAGTTAAATAATTTGTATCGAGAAATAATGAACCGTATTGATTTGCTAACCAACCATATGCTGCAGTGACAATGTGTATTACTGTATCTTTTACATTATGTTTTATTATAGGGTTTTGAGATGTGGTGTTCATAGATCTGCAACTATCTGTTATTTATGAACCATTATTATTAGAGTGGAGGTCATCTTTAACGTCGTTCATTTCCTTTTTCTTTTTAAATATATTTTTGTAATCAATAAATCATCCTTCATTTTATGATGTTGTCTTCTATATAATATAGGCCTCTCTATGTTTCACTTAGGTATAATCTACTTGAGCAATGCCATTCAAATTCAAATTCAAATTCAAAACCTTTATTTATCCAGGTGAAATCCCATTGAGATCATTGATCTCTTTTTCAAGGGAGACCTGCCATTACCTTTTACTGTGCTTTATTTTTCAGATTAAAAGTTTAGTACAAAACGTCTAGGCTAAAATGCGATTACAAATGTACTTTATAAAGTGTGTTGGAGCTGGGAAGGCTAAAACAATCATTGTAATTTTATCAGCAATCAAATAATAGCCTATAGTATGACTGCATATCAATTCTGCTGCCGTATGAGTTTGGCCTATTTGATAGCCTTCTTCTGGTTGCTAACACTTTTGTTGCATGGTATACTTGTCCCTGAACACTTTTATAGTGGATGTTGACATCATTACTGAAGTACAGTTTCTGAATATGTTCCAATGTTTGAGCTGGTCGTGATTTCATATATTTTACCGGATGATTTATTTGTCAGGGGGAATTTTATGAATGAAGGTTTAGTTGCTTTGTGCTATTGGGAGGGTGCGTCTGACGTCACGTTCCATTAAACAAACCCGGTCACGACGCAGAGCCCCTCCCACCTCCGACGCGTTTAAAACGGGACCGGTCCGGCCGGGACTGACCACTCTCTGTTTCCCTGAAGCCGGTGAATAGCGTGTGTGGATCTGGGAGAGAAAGAGACATGTACTGGGACACTATCACCAAACCTGGAGACAGAAACACAGACAGCAAAGACTTGAAAATAAAGGTATGTATTATTTATTTATAACACAGAAGATCAAATTATTTATTTATTGAATCAAGCATAGAAACTCGTGTATTTCATTCATGACAATGTCAAGCCTTGCTATATTTTATGATGTATCCCTTCTTTATTACAGGCAAATATTGGGTTCAATAGCATGATTGTCTTTATGAGGTGTTTTTTTACTACGTTATGATACATTAATTATTAGACAAAACAATTATAAATAATGGAATTAATACTCTTATATAATCGTTGGTGGTGCATTCATTGACAAAAGCAATGCAATCACAAATTCAGCTTCAAAAAGTTAGTCAAATACAAGAAAAAAAAAGTGCCATCCAGTAAAATATCTTAAAAAATGTCTGACTTTCCACGACAGGATCATAAAGCAATTTTTTTTTAATTGCCCTGCTTACATTTGTACATTTATGCATTACAAAAAGACAATTAGCCAAACAGAATAAGTGCTCAACCTGATGTATCACTTATTTAAAGAAAATTATTCACATCTGTTTTTGTTTCAATCAATATGAAGTGCAAGGCTTTTCATGTTGTCTCTGCCTTTAGATATTGATCAACAATGAGGATTTTTATGATGATTAAAGTTGTAATCTCGACTCTTTCCACACAGATGGAGATTTGCCAGCCTGGATATTACACGGAAGACTTCAGGACTCAGGAAGTGCCCGCTGGCTTCGACTTTGCATCTTATGGTGAGTTTAAAGAATCACTTGCTCCATCACGGGTGGAACATCATGACTTCTGAAGGTTTATTCTCTCATTGATGCCCAGACAGTTTTTTTTTTTTTAATGTCTGCACAATCTGTTTCCTCTGGACCTGAGCAGCTGAAGGACAGAGGAAATATTTGCACAGAGAGTATCATCACATCTGTCAGAGCTCTCTCAATGAGACCTTGACCCCCGGGCCGCTAACAATCAGGATACTGGGGTTCTGTGTGTGTGTGTGTGTGTGTGTGTTGTGTGTGTGTGTGTGTGTGTGTGTGTGTGTGTGTGTGTGTGTGTGTGTGTGTGTGTGTGGTGTGTGTGTGGTGTGTGTGTGTGTGTGTGTGTGTGTGTGTGTGTGTGTTGTGTGTGTGTGTGTGTGTTGTGTGTGTGGTTGTGTGTGTGTGTGTGTGTGTTTGTGTGTGAGTGTGTGTGTGAATAATGCTTGAATGAGCTGAGGTAGGCAAAGATAGAGAGAAAGGGTGACACTCCCCTCTCTGTCTTCCCTAATCCTTTCCTCCAGACTTCCTCCTCAAACAGATTTAGAGTCCCCCCCTCTCCAGACCTCCATCACTACTCTGTCACCCTCCCTCCGCTGGCGTTTCCTCCTCTCTCTTCCTCTCCCCTCCCTCCCTCGTTTCCTCCTGCCTCCATCTCTTGAGCTGAATAAACCTGAGTGCCTGC